TGCCATTCTATGTTTTGTAAAGAAAGTTCTTGCCATTTTTTGCTTTGTAAAGAAAGTTCTTGCTATTTTATGTTTTGTAAAGAAAGTTCTTGTCTTTTCTATATAAAAGGCCAATTTTTGTATTTAGTAGCCTGCGAGTGACAAGTTATACGATAAAAGGTAATTTATGCATTGTAAAGAAATTTTTGACACTTTATCTTTTGTAATTAAAGTTCTTGCCCTTCTTTGTCTTGTAAAGAAAGTTCTTGCCATTTCATGCTTTGTAAAGAAAGTTCTTGCCATTTCGTGCTTTGTAAAGAAAGTTTTTGCCATTTGTTGGCAAAAACAGGAATTTAGCGTCCCGCAATTGACAAAATATATAATAAAATGCGGTTTAAGCATTGTAAATAAAGTTTCTGCCACTATTCAAATAAACAAAAATTTTAAAATTCCAAAAAAATCAAAATTTTAAAAATAAAAAGTACAAGCAGCACAAGCCAACGGAATAATAAAATAATGTATATTTTATGATAATTATTAGGTTTGTGCTCGAACAATAGGATATGCAAATATCGCGGATCAAGTGTAAGGTGAGAGAGGATTAATTGGAGGCGTGACCAAGGTCAGGCACTTACAGATTTGCTGAGGTCAAACATGACAACTGTAAACAAAGTTTTTGCGGTTTGGAGGTTTGGAAAAAAATGTTTTGCTAGTTCACGGGTTGGAAAGAAAATTCTTGCCATTTTTTGTTTTGTAAAGAAAGTTCTTGCCATTTTAAAGCGTACAAAGTAATTTTTGGATTCTGCAGTTTGCGAGTGACAAGTTATACGCTGAATGCAATTTTATGTTTTGTAATAAAAGTTCTTGCCATTTTGTGTTTTGTAAAGAAAGTTCTTGCCATTTTATGTTCTGTAAAGAAAGTTCTTGCCATTTTATGTTTTGTAAAGAAAGTTCTTGCCATTTTATGTTCTGTAAAGAAAGGTCTTGCCATTTTATGTATTGTAAAGAAAGTTCTTGCCATTTTAGGTTTTGGAAAGAAAGTGCTTGTCATTTTTGTTAAAATACGTTTCTTTTGCATTTTTCATATCAAAAATTCAAAAATATGATTTAAAATCTAATAAAAATGGCAATTAAAGTAATAATAACCGAAATATAACCCCAAACCCGACCCAAGTTGACGTTACATAATCGATTCCACCACAACAATACCTCTTGTCACTACGCAAATAAAGTGAACATATATACAACAACATTGTTAACAGCTCTCGAATCTAATGTAAACATTCAAATTATGCAACAATGCTTATTTGTTGAACATGGCACACCTTTTTGGCTAAAATTTTTAATTTTTTTTTGATTTTTAAAATTTTTTTTAATTTATAAACTTTTTAAAAATACGAAATTAGAGTGCAAAAAATAAATCAAAAGGGCATTTTTAAGTCTTTATTACAAAGTTTAATTTAAAAAACTAAAAAATTCGACCAAAACCTCTACATTTTGAAAAAAAGACATGTTATACGATGAAACATGTTCCGACACAATATGTCAAAACTTATCACCAAAATTGTCAAAGACCATTAATTTCTATACTATTCATCAATATTTCAATATTTTACAAATATTTTCCTAAAAATCACAAATTAAATGAAAAAGTGACAGGTTATACGATGAAACATGTATTTCACCAAAAATGCCAAAACTTAAAATCAATTAAAATATGATCTAAACTGTGCATTTCTTATACTATCAACACTTTTTTACACCTATCGTTCCAAAAAACCCAAAGTTACATCAAAAAGTGACATCTTATACGATGAAACATGTCCGACCCCACAAAAAGTTACAGTAATATTCCAAAGAGTAAAGCTCATATAACAAGTTAATAAAGTAAATTCAAAACAGTTTTCACTAAATTTCATTACAAAGAAATAAAAAGTGAAAATGAAAACAGATTTGGGTTCGCGAGCCGGGGCCAGATGGTTTCTGGACCGACGCAGGTGCGTGACCTTTTATGAACCAAAGCGAGCCTTTCATAGATGAGGAGAGATGCTTGACTAATATATCTAATACTCTTGAGGCTTAATTTTTATTATTTAATAACAAAAATTTTGAAAAAAGTTTAAAAAAACTAAAAAAATGTTAAAATTATGGTTTTTTAAAAGTCTTGTCGCCGAATCGCATTGGTTTTGACAATAAAAAACGACAAAACTTTTTTTACCTTTTAAATACAAAATGCAACATTAAATATAAAAACCAACGAATTTAAAAAAAAATGTTTAACCCCCCCCCCCCCCAAAACTTACCCCTTCCTTTAAAAAAACACAAAAATTACCCTGCCCTACCCTATTATAAACTTTAAACCCAAACTCAATAAATTTCATTTCAAAAACGCCACAAAGAACGGGGAAGTCCTCTCTCAGTTTTAATATAACCCTTATCAGTCCAAACGCTTTTTTAGAATGAATAATAAAGAGACAGTCTGTTAAAGATTCGCACTGCATTTCGTTGATGTTCGTTTTATAAAAACAAGAAGGTCCCGAACTTGTTGTTGTGAGGTGGGGAAGTCATTCTGAATCGTCAATAGAACAATGAAGGCACTTTTAATGATCGGTAGGGCTTGAGTGAGGTAAGGCTAGGCTTCGATAGCACATAAGTAAGAGTACAATAAGATAAATGTGACAATAGCGATAGAGACCTAAGACGGTAAGGCTAGAATAGGCTAGGGCTTAGGCTAGGGCTTAGGCTAGGGCTTAGGCTAGGGCTTAGGCTAGGGCTTAGGCTAGGGCTTAGGCTAGGGCTTAGGCTAGGGCTTAGGCTAGGGCTTAGGCTAGGGCTTAGGCTAGGGCTTAGGCTAGGGCTTAGGCTAGGGCTTAGGCTAGGGCTTAGGCTAGGGCTTAGGCTAGGGCTTAGGCTAGGGCTTAGGCTAGGGCTTAGGCTAGGGCTTAGGCTAGGGCTTAGGCTAGGGCTTAGGCTAGGGCTTAGGCTAGGGCTTAGGCTAGGGCTTAGGCTAGGGCTTAGGCTAGGGCTTAGGCTAGGGCTAAGGCTAAGGCTAGAGCAAGGCTAACATATGACTGAGATAAAAATGTGACAGGCCTAGTAGGGTAGTGCTAAGGAAAGACTAGAGTAGTATTATAAATAAAAAGAGTTCAGCTACCAAAACAAAAATCCCAAAAAACAGTCATTTTCCCATAAAAGTCAATCCAATCCGCCACAAACCGAACTAACCAAATCCAATCGCGGCGATGGATTAAGGTTGTTCAAATAGTGACAAAGCTTCTATTTTACGTTCTTGTTTTCGTTTTTTCAACCTATGACATCATTCAAAGTTTATTGCAAGTACTTGAATCCTACTACAATATTTGCGGTTAAAAAGTTTGTAGAATTGACTTTTATGAAGGAAAACTGTTTTGTAAAGAAAGTTCGTAGCATTATTTAATTTGTAAAGAAAGTTCTTGCAAGTTTTCGTTCTGTAAAGAAAGTTGTTTCCATTTTTCGTTTTGTAAAGAAAGTTCTGGCTATTTTTTATCTTGTAAAGAAAGTACTTGCCATTTTGTGTTTTGTAAATAAAGTTCTTGCAATTTTTTGTTTTTTAATCCCATACTTCTGAATTAGACCCTCTTTTTCGCAGTTCTAAAAACCTTTTGACCAAGCTGCCATCTTTTCTATAAACATATGACCAAATTACCCCTGCCTTTCTAGGAACTATGACCAATACCTACAACAACATCACTGTCAACTTCAATTAAAATGACCAATACCTACAACAACATCTCTAATAACTGCGATTAAACTGACAAATACCAATTACAACACCTCGGAAAACTGCATCTAAACCCAACAGCACCCTAAAAACTACAATATAATCCATCTCCAATCATTTGAAGTACCAAAAACATGCAAAAGACCACCTGCAATGTTATCATAACCAAAAATGTCGTAAATTTGATTGCCATTCCTAAACCAATGTTTACTTTGAAAATTGTAAATTAACCGAAAATCAAACAGAATTGCCGATCATTTCAATGTTACTCTCAGTTTTTTTCAAATTCAAAGTACAAATTGATAAAAATTGTAAAATGAGAGTAGGTACAACGCCGAAATGTCTGTTGTAAATGGTTTCGAAATTTTAAAGATCAAACCTTTGCAAAGTGTATTAATGAAAATGGCAGTCTTGCTGTGTACAGTAGAACTGCAATATAATCAACTCTTTTATGAAAAACCCATTTTGCTTGTAATGAATGTAATTTAATGAAAATTCTTGCCATTTTTCATACAATAACAAAATTTTGTACTTTATAGCCTGCTGGTGCCAAGTTATACGAGAAAAGGTGTTTTACGCATTATAAAAAAATGTCGTCTTTTTGAATATTCGGAAATTTGACATACTGTAAACAGTAAAAACAACACACATATATCACTGTGAACGGAAAAAACGCATTATTAAGATATAGAAATAGATTTTGAAGACACAGTATCCTAAAAAAACTAAAAATTCAAAAATTTTCATTTTGAAATTATTAAAACTCAAAATACCGTAACTAACAAAAAAAACCCTATTGACCAACAAAAATTTTAAAAAAATACAGGTTATATTACATTTAAAATTCCTCTATAACAAAACTCCCTTATAACATACAAATTTAACTTCCCGAACCATTCGTTATACAGGAATTCCACTGTATTTTCAAATTTACTGCACAAAATCAATCATAACTTAGTTCAAAGTTCACATCAAAAAAATTCAAACATTAACTTACATATCTATTACATATTCCTCGATATCTCTTACATATTCCGCGATATCTCTTACATACTCCGTGAGATCTTAACATAGGCGGCGCGATCAAAAAGTTTTTCAAAAAGCAGCACATAAAAAGTTACATAACATACCCCGCGACAATATAATACAATCGCGCACAAAAAATTTTGTACAAGCCATATAAAAGGAGCTTTTCTCAATCGAAAACCTCACTTAACAATTTGTCAAGTACCAAGGAGTGTTGGAGAAAAAAAAATTAAAGATGGCCAACCAAGGAAGCATCTGGAGAATGGGCCAAGAGCTGGTCGACAAGGAAGAGTTGGCCAGGAAGATGGGAGTTTGTTTGAACTTTAAGGTAAGTCTTAATAATAATACATAATAATCTTGTGTACTAATAATAAATTAATAATAACTTTACTGTAATATTAATACTGTACTATTAGTAATTACTGTACTTTTAAAAATTACAGTACTATTAATAAGTACAGTTCGGCTCCTGTATAACAAATAAATCAAAGACTTTGAATTTGTTTGTTATAAAAGAGTTTTTAATTCGAAATACAGTAGAACTACTGTATAACAAACCGCTGTATAATTAACAAGTCTTGAACTCCTATCTATTGTTAAACAGTCTATTTGAAATGTATAACAAACCCCTCTATAACAACAAGCCTGTATATCAAACAACTATTTAGTCTCTATCTATTCTAAGTCTATTTAAAACTCCTATACACCAAAACTCCTTCATAACGAACAAATTTAAAATAACCGACGAAACATCGTTATACAGGAGTTGCCCTGCATCTAATAGAAATATTAGCCTTTACAACACAAATCTTTAACAAAAAATTGATTTTTAAAACTAATATCATACTGTAATTTTAAATTTTGTATTTTTAAAAACCTTATTTTCAGTTAACGCCAGGCGGAGGATTCCTCCGTACCACGCCGGCCGAAAGGGCCGAAATCCTGGCCAACCTGGGCAAGGAAAATAAAGAAGAAGGTAGGTTAATAATAATAATGATAAAAATGATAATGACAACAAAAAAAAGCAATTTAATATTAGGTTGTTCAAGTAATTCTAAGCCCTACAACTCCGAAAATATGCTTTAGAAAGGAGCACAGAATTATTTGAACAACCTGATACAATAATGAATAAATAATACTAATAAAAAGCCCTTTAATGTCGCCGTTACGTACAATAACAATATATGTTACTGTATATAGTATGTACTATCCAAAACTACTTTTTATAAGCTTTTAATCAACAAAATTAAGTTAAACAGTAACCAAACATTATAAACTACAACAATTTCGAAAATCAATTTAAATTAATTTCAGTGACACCAAAGGCTGAACCAAAGCCAGAACCCTACCCCCAAGTCAAGGCCGACCCCTACATTAAGAAGGAGCACGGTGGTGCAGGCTTCCGCGGCCACCGTGACATTAAGCGTGAGGTGAAAGCCGTGCGCTGGGTGAAACAAGAGCCCGGCTGTTCTAGCCACCGTGCCGAACCAAGCCGTTGCCAGCCGTACCATTCTAACAGAAGTGGCCGCGACGAAGTCCGGGACCGCGGCCAGAAAAGGCCATTCAACTCCGTGGAGCCTCAGGTTCCACAGAAAGTCATCAAGGCGGAGCCGGGCCTTGAAGAAACCGGTTCTTCTGGTTGGCAGCCAAACCAACCAGCCAACCAGCGCCGCCAGCCGACCAATCCACGCCAGCCCACACGGCCAAACCAGACAGCCAACCCACGCCCCTCCACGAAGCCCAACCAACAAGCCAACACACGCCCACCCAGCAAGCCCAAGCAGCCCGCCAAGCCAAACCAGCCCGCCAAGTCCAGCCAACCATCCAAGCCTAGGCCTCCAGCCAAGATGGGGCCCAGCTTCGAAGAGCTGATGGCCATCGCGGCCAAGAAGCAGACGGAGCCGTTCAAGCTCCCATCGAGGCCCGCTCCGAAGCCATTTGCCGTGAAGCAGGAAGTCTTCAACGAAGACGAGTGGCGCCAGATGAGAGAGGAAAAGAAAGAGAAGAAGAGGGCCATGATGCTGGTGAAGCAGGAACCGGCGGAGGAACCACTGCTCGAGCCTCCGGTGATAATGAGGCGTATCAAGGAGGAGCCGGTGGAGGAACCGGTACCAACGCCGGCGGTGATAATGAGGAGCATTAAGGAGGAGCCGTTCGACCCCTTCTTGGCTGAGATGGAGCTCCAAATTGGAGCATACGAAACGGAAAGGGGTCTTCAAAGATAGTTTTTTGTTTATGTAATTGTATTATGGTTGTTGTACTTATATTATAGTTGTACATATGTAAAAATAAAAAATTTTAAAAAATTCTGTTCGTATATGGTTTTGCACATAGGCAAATTAAAATAAGATTCTGGTTTAAACTAGACAATCGTTTTCAAAAGATAACGTTTTTACAATTTCAGGTACTAAAAAAGTTAAATAGTAATAATTACATTAATATTTTAAGAATAGCTTGTTTTATGTAGTAGCTGCATTAATATTAGCACTAGTACTCCTAGGAATGGTTCTTGGCTGTTGCATGGTAGCGTAGCTTCGGCCTAACGTTCTGTACTCTTGTTCTTGTTCAATAAATTGGGTCTGCAAGGATAAGAATCTTTGTTTTTCTTCATTACATTATAGTAAAATATGGTACTGATAATAATCAAATACAATCATGTTACCGTTACACATGATAAGACAACCATTTTTGCATTGCCTCAAGGCAAAAATGTACTTTTTTACTACACTTATGACAATTTTAAGTTGTATTTACCTTGCGTCTCAACGTTCCACGCTTATTATCGTCCATTAGAGTGCTGCTCAAAGTCGCCGAGTATAGCTCCATTACAGGGTACTTTGGTGAGAAACAGTATGACGATATCAGTGTTGATACAGCAAAGTACAACATTACTAAAATTTGCTTTTTAGACTAGTATAAGAAGAAAGGACCAGGTATAAAACCCAGATAGAAAAACTAGAAAAATCTAGGCGGAAAAGCCCAGAGACCATCAGATTTAGATCAAATCTTAACCTAAACCATCAAAAACAGAACAAAGCGGCTATTCCAAACCGTCCTGAATAGACAAAACCTACATATTCCGATACCCAAATCTCTGAATTGAAAGTTGAATTCAGGAGCGAAATACCAAATGGCAGCATTTATCGACCACACGTTAAAACTGAGGATCACAGCGTGAAAATCTTTAGCAGAACAACGGAAAATGGCAGCCATGACCGTTAGGATAGTCATCAAGCCCACAAAAGCGCAGGATCTTATCATAACGTACTCACTCTGAAGAAGGCATGTTATAACTGGGGTTTTAATACTTTGATCTAAGTACGTTACTTTTAAGAAGACATAGGTAAGTTATGTTTAAAATACATTTTTTACATTAAAAATGCACTTTAAATATTTTATTTATGTATTTTAGTATGCATACTAGCACTACAAGTACAACCTAACGCAATAAACCACATTATACCGCACTTTACCCAAACCATACCTGTTCTCCTCCCATACATCTCCAAGAAAACTGAGCTTCAAACTGTGAGAACGCCAGCGCCCTAATATCATCAAAAGCGGACCATTGAGCTATCAGAAGACATTGTGATATGATCAACATTACGGCCGACCAGAACTGAGTAACGCCAGAAAATCCGCGGTTATTACTCACAATATTGCCCTTCAACGATACTGTATGGTAATTGTAGCTTCCTATGACCTAGAATCATATCTTTATACGCGTATATTCGCCTTGTCAAGCTTTTATATTAGTCATGCCATGAACTTTATATTATTCACGTCCAGGAATTGTTATTTGTCACGCCAAGAACACACTGTTACCTAAATAACTACTACCAAAAACAATAACTTACCCTGACAGTAATAGGCACAACAACACTGATCAAACAAACAGAATATAAGCCTAGCCTCAAGGCACAGATCGGCTCAGATGGCTGTGTTATGAACAATATTGAAGCCACTGAAGTCATAGCGCATCCAACAAAGGATAGACTGGAACATACCCAGAATGGGTCGCTTACTGAAGAAACCATCTTTTGGTATGTGCACATTAAGCATATGAACATCAACACTACTGCCACACATGAGAAGACCAAGGTGTTTGTGTTCAGGACAGAATCCATTAATTTTGGAAGGTGTTTTGCTGTTCTTTTGATTGCGCTACTACCCCAGCACGATGATCTGCAAAAATGTTACTGTGGTTTAAAAAATGGCATGATTATTGGCTTATCAAGCTTATCAGAGCCGTTTATCAAGCACATCAAAGCCTGAATATCAATAAAGATAATCCTCCCACGTTTAAAAGACCTACTTTGGACATTGTGACACAACTTGAACCCTAGTACCATCCCTATCTTCAACGAACAAGTTGCTGTTCGCCGTGTACGTCAAACCGCCTTCTGAATCCCAAATCCCAAGCTCTTCGTCAACCAGTTGATCTTTGTTAAACACTAATTTTGTCAATACCAGCTCAGCCTTTCCGAATCCATTGCCAGAAGACATCGAGAACGTTGACGGTGACTTTGTTAAAGGATGAACAAATGATACAGATCTTACCAGGAGATTCAATGGTGTATATGGTTCATTTAGACAATCTGTTAGGGTCTTGACTAATGCCCCAGGGCAATTTCGTTCCACTAGGGTTCTTAAAGCATGGCCAATTGAATGAACAGCTAGTGAAGATGGTGCCACGTTGAAGGCTGGTGATATTGAGGATAGATCCAACTTTTGCTGGGTTGGACAAATTCTGAAAAGATGGCAGTGTTAAGGAAGTGCTAGTCCATAAATAGAGCTGCAAGGCTAGATCATCGATTCTAAAAATCGCGCTAATCCAAAAAAAGCTACAACACGATCATAGTTCATCCTAAAAGTCACGCCAATCTAAAAACCTCTTACCGTGAAAACTGTTCTCCATAGTTCTGATCTCCACTAAAATGGCATTTAAAAGCTGTGGTCCAAAACTGACGTAGCCATTGGACTGGAAACGGTAGTTGAGGAAAGTCGGCATTCAACTTGTTGTAATAACTGATATTCCTGTGCGGTTTATAAGCCACAGAGAACAGTAACTGATCAAACTTGGGCCAAATATCAGAAAATAATCTTGACGTAGCCCATCGTTCCGATTTTACCGTTGCAAAAATAAATCGACCGCTAATGACCATCTCTTCGTTTAGAGCTTCAATGAAATCTAACCATGACCTTTCCGTATACATCACTAAAACAACTCGAGCTTCTGATAGTAGTAGTTGTCTGATGACTTTTTGTTGAGCAGCTACACCAGCTACGGACGATACGTTAAGAACACGGTCGATACACATGTAACGTTCAAATGCTAGATTTGATAAGTCGCTCACAAAATCAGTGTAGGCTTCATCGTGAATCACACTAACACATGTTGATTTGGTATGTTTTAGCAGGTCCATGATAGCTTCAATTGGCTCAGTAATGTAGGGCAAAACTGATGAGACCAAAGGCTACAAAATATGTACATTTTAAGTAAACTATAATTTTGCTTCATAATATAGATGTAAAAAAATCTAAAAATACCTCTCTTTTGCGTGGAAAGAAAGTTTTAACAATGGGTAGTTCCAAATGGCTCAAATATTTGTCGGTAATTGGAAAGTGGGCATTGTCATCATGAATCACAGCTACAATATCATTCCTAAAAAATTATTTTAAATAAAAAATCATCTCGCATACCGTATTTTGCAAAAAAAATCGTCTTATAAAAATTTATACAGTTAATTTTATCATATCAAAATTGATATTATAAAAAAAAGCTTCCAGGTCCCGGCCGGGATCGAACCGGCGGCCTTCTGCGTGTAAAGCAGACGTGATAACCACTACACCACGAGACCCGTTGCTCCTTTCTTTGCTTCGGGCGCTTGTATACAAAGAGAGTAGATGTATACATGATTATCAAGTATAACTTATCAGTTTTTTTGATAACACAAATTTTCAATCCCAAATTTCAAAAATGTGTTCAAAATTGAAAAATCGCCACAATTAAAAAATGATATAACAACATTAAGCCAAAAACTTGCCTTTGAATATTAGTACCAGTAAAAAGCTCATACAAATTAGCCAGTGTTCTCAAGTCGGCTGAACATGTGTCCACAACAATCATACCCAGATTCAAATCCGGTTCCAATATTTTTTCATTAATCTCATCCAAAGCGCTTAACATTGAACCCAAATGTACCATGCTATTAACATCAATTGGCCCACATTCGTAGCCTCTACCATTGAGACTTTCATGAATACTGACCAGTGCCAAGATGTACAACCTTCTGCTTGATCGCACCACCAAAATATCGTTGAGAAGACGTTGAGACGGTACTGTAACTCTTTGTTGTGGTAGTGATGTTGGTGGTGCTGTTACGTTTAGTACATTTTTCAAGTTTTCGATAGCCGACGGTCGATATGGTGCGTAGGGTAGGCTGTAGGATTCTGTAGAAGTGTTGGAGAATTGACGCCAATTTGATGATGATATGTTGTACTTTTGGGTTGGTTTATCGATTACCTATTAAAAATAACGATAAAACTTTATAGTTTATCAAAACTGATAATGTGTTTAAGCCTAAAGGCAAAATTCACCACTAAATCCATCAAAAAAAATTTAAAAAATTTACTTTATCCAAGATTTGAGTGACATTCCTCATAGACTGAGCTTTATTACTCAACGCTTTGGCTAGCTGGTCAATAACTTGATGATAATCCCGTTGCTCCTCACCATTGCCAAACAAAATAAGAATACTCAAATATACTACACTGAATAATAAAAATTTCGACTTCCGCATGCCCGGAAGTCAAAAACAAATTACAAAAACTTGAATAATGGTAATTGAGAGAACAGACAATGTTTCAGTTCAAAATATTCAAACTGTTGAATCGAAGGCTAATTTTAGTCGCGCGGTCCTTAATCTGCTACGCTCGGACATTCGGAACATGAGGCGACATGATTTGGCTACTGCTCGACTTTTCACAAGGTGGTTTTTCGCTGCGGGTCAAAGGTAAAGAAATCAAAACAAATTTTTTAAAATTTGAAAAAAATGGAAAAAAACATGAAAAAACACAATCGTGTTGATATCTACAAAAAGTAGAGCTTATTGTAGAAAGAGGTAATCCACCCCAGAAAAAATTTGAAATAAAATTATTGTCATACCTGGGAAATGATATGACTCAGAGACGTCGCTAGGGAGGAGGGTGAATGGGTATGGATCCCCTCCAGAACCGATGCGATAAAAATTGCACAAGTTGGGATCAAGTTTGAAGACAAGGGTAAAAGTATAAAATTCAGATTTACATTAAGAGTTTGGACCAACCTCCCATCCAGAGCCAATCTGAAAAAAAATTCTACGTGTAGGTAGGTACTTGTATAGAACAAAAAAAGAAAAAATTTTTGAAAAATGGGTGCACAGGTAGCTGCTGATAGCTGTAATCCACAGAAAAATCACCCCTGCCCCCCTAGAAAAAAATCTGTAGCGACGTTTATATGACTATCAGCCAACTTCACTACAGCTTTCTTTCTAGAAGCCAAACGTTTTTTGATCCGAAGGCTACCTGTGCATCCATTTTTCAAAAAATTTTTCCTAATTTGCCACTTACAGGTACCTACCTACCAGTACAATTTTTTTTCAGGTCGGCTCTGAAAAAGAGGTTGGTCCACCTCCTTAATGTAAATCTGAATATTAAACTTTTACGCTTGACCTCAAACTTGATCGCAACTTGAGTTTTTCAACATTTTTTACACAACATTCTTTGACCATATTTATTTTTTCAACTCGTTACAACTGTAATCAACCAAATTTAAACGTTTGTTAAATTGGTGGAAATTCTGTTCGGCAAACATTTTGTCGCGTCAATCATTTTCCGAGTTAACAATCTTCACTACCATTTATGGAATAGTCGGAAATGTTTGTCGGGGTTTACTTGTTTCTTAGAACAACAGTAACAAAAATAAGTTTTTTGAGAAGGTGTTTTCTTTCTTTTTTAAACATCATCGCCATTTTAAAGTAATAAGTTGAAAGAGTCCGCTCTTAAGTGCCTTATTTTGGTCGAGGTTTCTTTTTTAGTGTACTGTCGTTTGAAAATTTGATGATTTTGCAACTATGAGGTTCTAAAGTAACCTCAAGTTCATTTTATATGAAGCAGTAAAGTAGTACGGTTACTGTAGTAACATTGTAGTAAGCTGTGGTAAAGCTAGGGCCTATAGCAAAGTAAAGCAATGCTACCGCACAGCTAGAGCAAGACTAGGACAAGGCAGGGAAAGCAAAGCCATTTAAGAGCTAAGGCCCAAAGCAGACGAAAGCAAAGCTAGGGCACATCTAGGGCAACATTAGGTCAAGGCAGGGGAAAGCAGAGCTAAAACAGAGCGAGCAGGATTGGGCCCTAAAGCAGAGAAAGCAAAGCTAGGACAAAGCTATGGCTAGAGCAGAGCCATGGATCAGTCTTACAACCCAACATTAAGCTTCTCTTTCAATTAATCAAAAGTGTATAACTTTACAACTTTGTCTGATATTATCCTTGTTTACCGAGCAATAAAAGTTATGAGCATATTATTGTAAACGACGTTTAAAATTTTTTTTCTTAACTTTGTTGATCGAAACAAAAAACAGGTCATTTAACGTTCCTTAAACGTTCGACAACGGCGTTGCTTTTCGTTTTCAACAACAAAATCGTATTCTACGTAAAATATTAATTAGTATTTATCTTCTTTGATAGTATTTTATCAGATTGGCTATTTTTTCCGAGCGTGAACATTGTTTAAAAATCGTTTTTATACATTTGAAAGCTATCATTACTACTAAAATATTTCAGATGAAAAATCATCTCATATTTTGCCTCCTCCTAACCACCGTGGCCTCCCAAGGCCTCCTGGACAACATTGGAAAACTCTTAGGCAATCTAAATGGCGAAGGCGGCCCAGGAGATCACGGAGGTGGTGGTGGTGGAGGTCGAGGCTGGGGACCTCAAGGTGGTCCAGATCGCTTTGGAGGACCTGGTGACTTCCGTGGCCCTCCACCAGGACCTGGACCTTTCGGAGGCCGTCCACCCCCAGGCAGTGGTGGCTGGGGTGGTGGTCCACCTCCACGGGATGAGTTTGGTGTTGCTCCAGGTGGTGGTGGCATTGGCCAACGACCTGGCGGTCCGGGCAACGGGCCTGGCGGTGTGTTAAATTTGAATGGACTTTTGGGAAACGTTATGAATGAAGTTGGTCACGCTGTCCAGACTGGTCATTTCGATTTGCGCAGCGCTTTGGCTCATATCACTGAAGGCACAGGCCTTGAGGGCATTTATCAAAAGCTGAGTAATGCTGGAAAGAACTTCTTGGCTCCGAAGCCGACTGAACGTGGCATACCGCCTCACGTTTTGAGAAGGATTATTAGGTTTTGTTCTAGACCGGAAAATCGGAATCATCCAAAGTGTCAGTAAGTGAATATGAAAATATAAGGCTAATCAAAATTGATTGCTAACATCAATTTTAATTTACAAAATACAAAGTTTTAAGCGATTTTTACCTCTAAAACTCCAAAAACCACCCTTATAAAACACTATTTTCAGAGGTCATCCAGAATGGCAATCTGACGACACCCTACCCGAAGGTCCAGGTCAATTCAATTCAATTAATGACGTATTTGACCTACTCAACTTCCAGCTTCCTCCACTACCACAGCTAGCTCAACAGTACATTTTTGGGAATGTGCCAGAGAATTTGAAAGAGATTGTTCCTAAACCTACTCACAAGCTGAGCAATGAGCAAAAGACTGCCATTTTGAACAAATGCAAAGGAGGAGCTTGCTTGAAACAGCCTGTGGACGTGCTGAATCGAAGAGCTTCCATTGCCGAGCATGAAGCTTCGGTTAGGAAGCTTTTTAGCCCTGGAAAGTAAGTTATAGTGTATGATTTTCGATTACAAGCCTACTACAATATACTTTTTCTTAGATCACTGAGATATCAACTAAAAAATGTCAATGAATAAAACAAAAAATGAGTAAAAATGACCAAAATCTTCCCGGTTATCAACTAAAAACCTTATCCTATTCTCTTCAGATCCCAAACCGAAATCGACAAAGACATTGAGACCAGATTCGCCCGTACTCACCAACTCAAGAAGGCCATTCTCACCAAGTCCGGTATAAGTAGCGAGGTGGAACCTCACAACGACGGAGTGTTCCAAAACGATATTCTCCTTACCACAGAACAAGCCGAAGCCATGATCAATGCCGTTAACAACGACGATCCCGGCACGGTTCCGGTTGTGAATCGCGGTGGCCGTAAGAAACGTTCTTCACTGTTCTTTGAAGAACAGTTGGTTAAGAAATGGCCTGCTGGTGCTATTCCGTATGTATTTGACAGTAGTTTGAGTGCTTCCGAACAACAAACTATTCAATCGGCTATTAGCGAGATTCAATCGAAAACATGCCTCAAGTTCCAGAAGTTGGCTTCTAGACCCTCGAGCTCGCATATCTTTTATGTCAAATATGATTCGACTGCTTTGTAAGTTGGTTTTGGTTTGAGGTATTATATTGTGTTAGGTTCTGCAAGTATAATAACATGTCTTGAATTTGTTTTATCAATATTGTTTTAGTTGTGGATTGAGTAACATTGGCTTGAACAACCTTGGAAACCCAGTTTATCTCACATTCAGGTGTACAAACGTAAGTTTATTGATCATTTTCTTTACATTATAACATTATTTTGTCTTTTCTTGTTGATTATCTTGAAGTTTTTGATTTCTTTTTGTTTTTTTTTAAATTTTTTCAGGTTTTTTAAGCCCGACCCTTTAATATTGTCATATAACTCCTACGTTTAGCCCAAAAACAACCTTCTCCCTAGCCTAAACCCCCATTTTCAGCAACCAGCCAAAGGTGTAGCCATTCACGAGACTCTACACGCCCTTGGCCTAGCACACGAGCACGTTCGTTCCGACCGTGACGATCATATCACAGTAAACTGGGCCAATGTCGACCCTCAAAACTATCAATTTTTCGGTGTAAATGACGCCAAACTGTTTTCAAGTTACGGTGTAACTTATGACTACGGTAGTATTATGCATTATGCCAATACTATAGCCGCGAAAAGCCCTGGGGCTATTACTATGACAGCGTTGCAGAATAATGGGGCTAATGGTCCTCTTATGGGTCAGAGGAACGGTTTGAGTCAACATGATGTTGAGATTTTGAACAAAATGTATTGCAAACCGGCTAGTAAGTTGTTTCACTGCTTTAGCTTTGGAAAATTACATACCTTAGCTTCAGAAAATCAATTCTTATTAAAAATCTATTACCTAAATTTCAAAAAACACCATTATTTCTATAGTTGTTACCTAATCATCTAACAAAATGTTCCTATGTTGTAAATTTGTTACCTAAAACCCTCAAAAACAGCCTTCATAACAAATTTGTTACCTAAAAATCTAAAAAATTGTAATTTTCAGCCTGCAAAGACGAAAACATTTACTGTGGTATCTGGGCAAACCGTGGCAAATGCAGTAACGCACCAAATGCTTGGATTTTCCAACACTGTAAAAAATCATGTAACTACTGCTAACCCGACTTGTAATTAGAAATTTAAACACCATTTATTGACAAGTTTTAGATCTTTTATGGATCAGACAAAATAAATTAATTTTATACAAAAAATATATTGTTTTAGACCAAAATACATTGTTTTAGATAGCTTTGAGATCAAAATATATTGTTTTAGATAAATTTAGAGATCAAAATGATAGTTTTAGGTAGTTTTACCCTAACTAAAACAAATAAAGAAATTTCGGTGACAACAGTCCTCAAAAAATAACATTACGTTCCTTTAAAACCACCTAAACATAAAGAAAAATAAAAAAAAAATAAAAACCAACCGATAGACCTCCTAAAGAATCAAAATGTCCCAACTAGACTTAAAAATCAAGACTTCTGATCCCCTGTATCCTCTTTTTTATCATCCTTCGCCTTCTTGGTTCGACGTCGACGCCTCATTTTGACAGGAAGATCGATCATCATAATTTTGTTCACCAGCTCAGTACATGCCCTCGGATGCCTTCTAGCCAACTTCATACCAAGTGGAGTTGTCTTTGAATCCTTGACAGGAGCATTGGGAATCTTCTGACGTGATATCTGATCAATTGGAGGTCCAAATGAGTTTTGACGCTGAAAAAATGAACATTGTTTTAGGTTATAAATAGGTAAAAGTTAAAGTGGATATTTTTAGCTAAAACTTTAGACAGCGTAACTAATATTGCATTAAAAACCTCAATTATTACCTTTACAAGGTTTACAAGACATTCCAACAACTTAACTTATCAAAAGACCGCAAAATCCAAAAATTATTTTATCCACCTTTAATCAAAACCAATATTTCAAAATTTGAAAAAGCTAAAGCAAAAGTTAATATATTAAACCTCAAAATTCTTGCATTGACATCTAAAAATCATTTTCTAACAGTTACAGAGAGGAATCACAAGGCAACTAGCAAAAAACTAAAATTTTATATTATTCATCCTCATCCGACCACGAAAGGACAGAAGAATTGTAAAAAAACTAGAAAAGCTATCAAATACTTGTTTAAAACCTTCGAAACATATTTATAATCGTTTTTATCAATTTTTACAACATCTTTTAATTCAAAAACGCTCTTTTTACACCTAATATTCACCTTCCTCCATCTCTCCATCACCTAAAACCAAAAAAACCTAATTAAACTCAACTTACCATCGACTTCTTTTCCAAGCTAGCTTTGATAACTTCAGGCACATCAATTTTGTTGCGGAATGGTGTCACAGATTGTTGAACAATAATCTCCCGGGTTTCCCTCATCGACTTCCTCATGCTTGAGCCTCTCATTATGCCCTTTCTGGGCATTTCCAGCTTCTTCCTTGGCATTTTCTGAAGAAATAAGTGTTAAAATGAGTTAAACTAACATAAAAATAAATAAAAAAGACACTAAAGTGTATTTTTAATAACTTACCAGCTTGTTGACTATTCATTCACATTCTCCAACCTTGCAAAACAAAATTTTGTCCGGATATTTCGTCAAAAAACATTTCCGCGGAAAAACAGTTTTATACGCTGAAACCTGGCCCGCTCAAGCTGTTTTTTGTTATTTTATCGATGAAATTGGCAGTAAACACCCACGTTATTGATGGTGAACAATCAGTATTTCGAATTTGTGATATCGAAATACAAAATTCTTTGAGAAACCTTAACGTAAGTTCTTTTTTTGCCAATTAACTGAAGGAAAATTGACTCATTCAGCTCATTTGTGTTGAAAAAAGTTCGATGAACGTTGGCGAACGTGAAAAACCGTTCAAAATTCGTTTACAAAAACAAAATAAGATTGATAGAAAGTAGCGTAAGGGTGTTGGGTAAACTTTGTTATTAATTACATTCTTTTTGGTTTTGAATTTACAGTGCAGTAGAGGTTTTAGGTAACAAAAGTGCGTGTTTGGGTTGTTTTTCAATATTTTTTTAATTTTTAATTGTTTTTTAATATTTTTAGGGTTACATTAGTTGTATTTTGATTGAAATACAATCTGTTTTGATAAGATGTTGTTGACGGTAAAGTTGAGTTTACTATTGGCTGGCTTGTATATTGTTCATGGCATTGAAACGGTAAGTTATTATGAATCTAGGGTAGAGGATGTTAGTGTGATTTTAGTTTTATACCACAAAAAATGTTATAGAATACTCACCCACCAGGACCAAATCATTACGAAGATGATAATCCAAATGAGCCTCAAGGCAGATTCGGCCGAAATAACGAGTTTGGTGGTATGCCAGGGTCAAAGCCACCTTGTAAGCCTAAAATGCAGTCAGATGGTAGTAGTTGGTCTACGAGTTGGAGTAGTGACGGTGAGGTCGATACTCATATTATGTAAAATATGATAGTTGAACTCTTATTAATTTGTTCACATAATTCTCTGTGCCTTAAGAAGTAAAAAGCAAATTTTTGGGGTTAGAGGCACAGAATTATTTGAACAACCTAATAGTTTATCTTTACAACCATTTTTTAAATTATTTAAGATTGTGACCAGCCTGAAGGTCCAACACCTCCCTCAACACCTATATCAACACCTCCCTCGACACCTCCTACGTCTTTCTCAGCTCCTCTTTCTACACCACCTTCTACAACCTTGACTGCTTCTGAAAATGACCATCCACAACATCATCACCACCATCATCATGATCATCATCATCACTTTGATGAAAACCAAAACAATGATAATGTATGGCGTGGTTATGGTTATCGCCACAATTTTGAGCCAATGCCACAGTATATGTCACGTCGAGTTCCTAGTCTTATGCCTCAACCAATACCAGATGCTACACCATTCATGAGGCCATTATCTAGGCCATACCACAAGCCTATGTTAGAGCCTCTCCCTGAGCCCAGAGGTGAACCAGTTTTAGAGCCGCTCCCTGAGCCCAGAGGTGAACCAGTACCTGAACCCATGCCAGAACCAGAGCCCAAGCACCGGTTTGATCTGGGTAAAATACGAAGGGAACAAATTGAGCCTTTGTGGGGTCAGTTATCAGTAGCTTCGAGAAACTTCTTGGCTCCAGATTCTGTGAATGGAGCAATTCCTGCTCATTGCATCAAAAGAATAGTACGATACTGTTCGAGGAATCCAGAGAGCCTCAGATGCCGGTTAGTTTAAGCTTTGAATAGTTGTCGTATAACTTGTCTTTTGCAGGCTGCAGGGTTCGAAATTTTGTTGTTTGGAGAAAAATGTAGAAACTTTCTTTACAAGATAAAAAATGGCAAGAACTGTCTTTACAAAACATAAAATGGCAATAACTTTCTTTACAAAGCATAAAATGGCAAGAACTTTCTTTACAAAACACAGAATGGCAAGAACTTTCTTTACAAAACACAGAATGGCAAGAACTTTTTTTACAAAACATAAAATGGCAAGAACTTTCTTTACAAAACATCAAATGGCAAGAATTTTCTTTACAAAACGTAAAACGGAAAGAACTTTACTTTACTTTATAGAAACCACCCAGAATGGATATCAGAAGACATTGTTCCATCCCCACCATCTCATGGTGACGTATGTATTGAAGACGAAGATGAAGTGTTTTCTCTCTACAACTTTACAGCAGCTGTTCCACCTAAATTTCCACCTAAATTTCCACCAAAGAACGTCTTAGCCAACGTTCCAGAAGACTTACGTACTGAAGTCAATGACAATCCAGTGTATCATCTATCTTCATCTGAACGGTCAAGTATGTCTTCATCATGTTCATACGGTAATTGTTTAAAGCAACCAAAGAGTGCACTGTTTGATCGTGCTGACATTGCTGAACATCATGCTACCGTGACTCGGTTCTTGACTGATGGGGCTGGGAAACAGATTGATAAGGATGTGGAGACTCAGTTCTTGAGGACTTATCAGTTGAAGAAGGCCATATTGGCCAAGTTGGGGTTGGAAGGGAAGGTTGAAGCGGCCAATGACGGTATCTTCCAAGGTGACATACTATTGAGTATTGATCAGGCTGACATTTTGATCAATGCTGTTCAGAATGGAGTTGATGTGGCTTCTTATTTGCCTTCTGGTCAGGGCTCTGGCTATACTAAGCCTGTGGGGTATCAAGGAGGTACAGCTTCTAAGCCGCAAGGATACCAAAGCTCTACCTACTCCAAACCACAACGTTCAACTACTCATACATATCAAAAAACAATGGCAGAAGATGATCAAGAAGACAGAAGACCTCCAATGGTGGAAGAAATGTCATCGCTTAATCATCCCTACGCTCATCAATCAACAGGCTATGGTTATCATCGTGTCAAACGAGGTGATACAGCCTTTACAGATACCGGTCGATTATTGCTAAAAGGCAAATACAGTACATTAAGCCGCAGGTTTTCCGTTGGTAAAAGTAATGGCGATCTTGTAGCTCCTCGTTACAGTAGATCTACTGGTAACACTAGACCTAGTCTTAGTCCAGCTACAGAAAATAGATCAGAAGCTACAGAAGCTCATCGTGACGAAGAAGATAAGATGAGAGTCAAAAGAACGGCCAATAGCACATTAGATGTTCATCGTGCCAAACGTTCTGGAATTTTCTTTGAAGAACAGTTTATACGCCAATGGTCCAGCACTTATATACCGTATTATGTTGATCCTCAGATGACGCCGGAACAAGAAGCTGTGGTTGATAGTGCTGTCAACGCGATTCAAGAAGCTACATGTTTGAACTTTGTGAAACAGACACAGAAACCAAGTGGAAATTTCATTTTTTACTCCGTTTATGCTTCTCCGGCTTTGTAAGTTTTATAACACTTTTAGTTTATGAAAGGCTTAGGCTTAATCTTAGTCTTAGTAGCTTTAAGCTAAGTAGGCTTAGACTTATTAAACTTATGATTAATAACCTCAGGCTTAAGAAGCCTAGTTTTTTTAAAGTTAAAACAGATAAGGTCTGATCTCTCGTGGTAATATAGAGTAAGATCCCAGCACTCGCAGTCATTTGTTGGGTCGTTTTACATCCAGGCAATTATTATGTAAATGGTTAATATTACATAAGAAAAAGTTGCGACATCAGGTTTCTTGCAATTTCTCTAAGGCTACCTTTTGATGTCATTATATTATGCAAAACCGCAAAGTATTTTTTCGTTTATGTATTTTTTGAACACCTACAGATCTTTCAGTGACTATAACATAGGTTAAATAGGTTCTAAAAATGTTACAAGAAATCCTCCTCCCCCCTCCAGAAAAAAAATTTCGAAAAAAGTTGAACGTGGCCCCCTTCCCCCTGTGGATTTTTTCGACCCGTGCCCTTAGACCAAAAGTCCCCGCCAGCCCCTGGTTACAATGTTTAATCTTCTTTGTATACTAATCATAAATTTTATGTTAAGATTTCAGTTTAGGCCTTGAAGTTGAAGCTTAGAATTAGCAAGTTTAGTCGTGGTAACTTAGGCTTAATAACTAAGGCTTAGTACGCACAGGCTTAGTAGGCTCAAGCTTAGTAATCTTCTACTTAGGATGCGTTGGTACTTTAGTGTTGTAAGCTTATGGTTAGTAGGTTGAGCTTATGGTTAGTAGGATCAAAGTTTGTACACTTAGGGTTAGTAAGCTTGAGCTTAAGTTTAATAGTCTTAGACTTAGTGTGCTCATTCTTCAAGGCTTAGACTTACTTTGAGTACGCTATACGTATATATATGTTATGAATTTATGATTCTTTTCAGCTGTGGCATCAGCAACATTGGAATGCAAAAAAGTGGAAATAACGTTGTTTATCTGTCATTTTTATGTCAAAATGTAAGTTTTTAGGTACTAAATAGTACATTTCTTATACGAAACATTATAATTTTTCAAAATTCAAATTCTTAGCGAAAGAAATCTTTTGTAATATAAAAAATACATGTTAAACTCAAATTTTATAGCAAGACAGCAAAGGAATAGCGATTCACGAAACTCTTCATTCAATTGGTGTTGCTCATGAACACGTTCGTACTGACAGAGACGATCATATCCGAATAAATTGGGAGAATATCGACCCAAACAACTATGCCTTCTTTGCTTTGAACGATGCTAAGATGTTTACCAGGTCAGTAACTGTTATTTTTATAAGTTACTTAGGCAGTATTTGGTAAAAGTACCGTATTTTACAAACTACAGCGGTTTTACACAGTAAATTTTTATTTTTTCAGCTACGGTGTCCCATATGCATATGATTCGATAATGCATTACAAGAACAATGTGGCAGCGAAAGCTACAGCTTCTGGGCCAAGTATGTCGGCTACAAATGGCAATGGCTATGAGATGGGTCAACGGACTCATTTGAGTCAAAATGACATCATGCTGATTAACAAAATGTATTGTAAAGCTGAGTGTAAGTACTTTTTTACTTTATATTAGCATTGGACTTAGCTCTAGCCCAGAGACCTAGCCCAGAGCCCTAGCCTAGAGCCCTACCCAGAGCCCTAGCCCAGAGCGTTAACCCAGAGCCCTAGCCCAGAGCCCTAGTCCAGAATCTTAACCCAGAGCCCTAGCCCTAAATGTTCATAGTCTTTGCCCTAGGTAGAATTGCGACCGAGACGAGCATACTTTTCAGGCCCGGTTTGATCTGAGCTTTGCTCAGACCCAGCCCGACCTAAGTTTTGGTTAAGACCGGGCCGGCTCGGTCCCCATGGATAGCTCTAACCCATATTTTTCAAAAAATGCTTGTTTATAACATTTCTTGCCTTGTGCAAAAAATCCAATAAATGTTGTGGCACTTTGCAAAAAAAAACCAATATTTTTTGTGACATTTCGTTACATTTTGCAAAAAGTCAAAAATTTAATCGGAAATCATAAAAAAATTGTATTTTACTTAGTTTAATTTTTTTTAAATTTTAATTTTTTAAAAAATAATAATTTTAATCTTAAAATAATAAAATTTTGGGTTTTTAGACTGTACGGACCGCTTGGTTTACTGTGGTGTTTGGGCGAACAGAGGAAAGTGCCAGACCTCGACGTGGATGCAACAAAATTGCCGAAAATCTTGTGATCTTTGCTAATTTTTTTGAAATTTCAAAATTTTTCAAATTTAAATTTTTTAAAATTTTTAAATATTTTTTAAAAAGATATTTTTTTAAAATTTTGATTATTTTTAATTCCTGGTGCCATAGACTTGATCATGATAAACTTATTTTACAATTTTTTTTATCATTTTTAAATTTTTGCTTTTATTATCAAACGTTTGGAACGATATTGATTCACCGTTCTGTTCCAAACGCTAAGTCATTCAAAATTTTAAATTTTAAAAAATTAAAAAATATTTGATTAAAATAATGTCAAGATTACCTTGCTTTACTACAATAACATTGCTCTTATCACTATCATTATCATTATCATCAGGAAGTAGTTTAAAATGTTGTAACGCCATTAATCACTGGAGTAGTGTTTGTGTTGTGGATCAAGTTGACGTGTGTAAGAAGGAACTCGATTGGTGTTTTAACATAACTGGCCAAAGTGTGTATGTAAATGGCAATTATATACACGGATGTGCTCCGGATTACATCAAGGAGTATTGTAATGTAAGGCGCTTGATTTTTATAAGTAAAGTTGGTGCAATAATAGGTTTGGTAGAAGCAAGGCAAAGGAGTGCTAGGGTTAAGTTAAGGACTATGCTAGTTGTAAGACTAGAGTAAAGCTATAACAGGAGTAGCGCTCTGGGCTAGGGCTCTGGGCTAGAGCTCTGGGCTAGGGCTCTGGGCTAGGGCTCTGGGCTAGGGCTCTGGGCTAGGGCTCTGGGCTAGAGCTCTGGGCTAGGGCTCTGGGCTAGGGCTCTGGGCTAGGGCTCTGTGCTAGGGCTCTGGGCTAGGGCACTGGGCTAGGGCTCTGGGCTAGAGCTCTGGGCTAGGGCTGTTAGGGCTAAAGCTAAAACTGAGGTTAAGGTTAAGGCTAATGATATGGGCTGTAGTGAGCCTAGGGCTAGTCAGAATAAAGCCTAAAATTTTTAGTTAAGGCTACTATAACTTAAAAAAGATGATAGTAAGCCTTTTATAGAAATATCGACCCTTCTCAACCACTAATACCAGCTTCAATTTTTGTTTGCAACTAAAGCAAGCTGATTTGACCGGTCGATTATGTTGCTGTAACGACAATAATTTCTGTAACGCTGAATCACCTTGAATCACTGTTGCTCTGTTATCATTTTTTAATCAAAATTTTACTTTATTTTTTATTTTTTACTACAGTTTATATAAAAATGACATTACTTTAGTGTTTTATCATTTATACATTACTATCAAGTCTATGGTAAAAATTATTGTATTACAAAAGGTAGTTCAAAAAATTCTGTGTCCCTATAACTAAATGACCTGAAACAACATTTTTGAAGTTAGGGGCACAGAATTATTTGAACTTGCTATTATAATAATAAGCAAAAAATAACAAAATTATTAAAATTATGGCAATCACAGAAGAATAATCGATATTTTGAGTGTATCACAAATGACTGGACGGTGATGACTAACAGATATTGAAGCCTGGGGGCTTGTAAAGAGTTTCTGAAGACTTTTTATTAAAAAATTTAAAAAATACTTTTAAAAAATTTTTTAAAAAAATTTGTAAGTTTGAAAAAAATTTTAAAAAAATTTTAAAAAAATATAAAATTTAAAAAAAAAATTATTTAAGCCTAAAATAATTTTAAAAAATAAAAAAAAATTATTTAAGCCTAAAATAATTTTAAGAAATAAAAAAAATTTTATTTAAGCCTAAAATTATTTTAAAAAAATAAGAAATAATTTATTTAAGCCTAAAATATCTTTAAAAAATTTAAAAAAAATATTTTTTTTAAATTTTTTTAGTTTTTTAAAAAATTTTTTTTAAACAAAAGTCAAAACTTACCAATAACACTGCTGAGAAATGAAAAATAAGTGAAATCTCCAGTGACAGCGCCCTTTTTGGCCGGATTTTCACGTCTCAGCTTGGTGCAAAAGCCATTTTCTCCCTGAAAATGTCATTTTTAATTAAACATATTACTATTGTTTGACAGACAAAAGAATGTAGTTTTAATAAAAATTATTGCAAGTTTTTAAAATTTGCGAAAATTTGCATAAATTTTAAATTTTTCGCTATTTTTCTTGTAAATTTGGCAATTTTTTCCGATATTTAAACATTTTTTTGGAATTTTTGTGATATTTTAAGAATTGTTTATGCCATTTCTTATTATACCTTGTAAAAACATTCATTTGCAAACCCACCTTAAGTTCATACTCCACAATATGCCAATCCTTCAAAGCAGGATCAGCGATTAACTTGGCCATAGTTCGATCAAAACCAAGGTTATGAGCAGCAATCGCAGCTCCTGCCATTGTATTAACGTTGTTCGGAGCTAATGGGCATAAATGTCGTACTGGACCTTCGTAGAGCACCATTGGACTATTCGAGTCTTTGGCAGATTTGTTTAGCTCTTGTAGACGACCGAGGACTTTGAAGCTGTCTGGGTGCTTTATCATTGTGATTTGGAGAGCCTGGAAAGGGTTGTGATATAGGAGGCTAATAAGTACAATACTAATAACAAAGTATAACAAATAAAAGACAAAAAGCCATCCACAGAGTAAGTTATTATAGTTGAGCCTCAATAAGGTAAGCTAGATCAAAGAATAAGTACAGTAAAGCCACGTAAAGGTCCATATTTAAGCCTAAAACAGAGTATAATAGATTTCAATCAGAGAAAAATCGGCCGAACTCAAAGCACGGTAGACCCAAGCCAGAGTATGGTAAGCCTAAGCAAGGGTATTTTAAGATTAGACCAAGGTACTTTAGGCTCACCTCAAAGATATGGTAAGGCATACGGTACGGTAGAGTCTAAGGTATGACAGAATCTGAGATACGGTGAGTCTAAGTAGTTACGAAAGGTAAAAAAAGGCTAAAGCAAGAAGAAGGTACGGTAAGGCTAAGCAACAGTACAGTAAAAATAGAGTAGACTATGGTAAAGTCTCTAGACTAGGGCTCTGAGCTAGGGCTCTGGGCTAGGGTTCTAGGCTAGCGCTCTGGGCTAGGGATCTGGGCCGGGGCTCTGAGATAGTGCTCTAGGTTAAGGCTTTTCGCTAGGGCTCTGAGCTAGGGTATCAACTTACTTTTAACGTGCCCAAGTCAGCCATCTTTTTGACGTCATTTGAGCCCCAGAAGGCTCCAGAAGGTACAAAGACGGCTCTTTCTGGATACTGTTTGAGCAGTTCTTGTAGACTGTCATACAAATCACGGTCGGCTAGTGATGTAGGTGAGCCAATCTAAAAAAATTCAAAAATTTTTATAAAAATTTTAAAAAAAATTTTAATTTTTTTTTGTAAAATACGATAAAAATAATACTTACGAAAAAATCAGCATGCTTAAGAATCAATGGGCCGTAATTCTCGACGATATGAGGATGTGCCACTTCTATCACAAGGTCAATGTCTTCCAACCGTTCGGCCGTTAGTTCTGTCAATGGAAGAACGTTCTCCTTCTCATCTTCAGTTCGGTTCCAAATCGTTTGGACTACGAAATTCTTTTGTTTCGCTAGCTCGATTTTTAAAACTGGCCGATATGACCATACCCAATAATTCCTACCCGTTTTGGCTGTCTTTCTGTCATCTGAAGCAAACTTTTTAGGATGGTTTATTATAGGTTAGGATAGACATTGTAAGATAAAGTAAGGTATTGTAAGGTAAGGTAGGGTAAAGACATTTTAAAATAAATATAGTGAACTTATTTTTTAAATGCAAAACCTGTGGCAACTATAATATACATATATAATGCTAAAAAACTGAAAAAGTAATTATTAGTTTAAAACTATCTTGTTATAAATAAACAATGATCATCCAAATTATCAAAAATAATTTATCCAAAAAAAGTTTTGGCGCTAAGTACATATACTTTCATTAAAAAAAACGACAAGACTTTTTTTGACAAGATAGAGTAGCATAAGATAAGATAGGATAAGGTAGAGTAGGACAAGATAAAGTACAATAAAGGTTTTATTAGGATAAGGTCTAAGGTACGATAAAATGTAAAAAACGGCATGAAACAGGGTTCAGAAGAGTGTAGGATGTAGTAGAAAATAAGACACAGAAAGCCCTACGGCACGGTAAGGCTTAAGGTACGGTAGGGCCTAGGGTACGGTAGAGCCTAGGGTACGGTAAGGCGTAGGGTACGGTAAGGCTTAGGGTACGGTAGGGCCTAGGGTACGGTAGGGCCTAGGGTACGGTAGAACCTAGGGTACGGCAAAGCCTAGGGAATGGTATGGCCTAGGGTGCGGTAGGGCCTAGGGTACGGTAGAAGCTAGGGTACGATAGAGGCTAGAGTACGATAGGGTTTAAAGTAAATTAAGGCTCAAAGCACCGTAGGGCCTAAGAAAAGATAGTTTAGAGCGGGGTAGGGTAATGATAGTTTATTTTTCAAAACAACTTTATGGATCGTATTTTACTCTTTCGTAAAGACCAATATCTCTCCTCCATCCAGAATGCCCATCTGGCCTCCTTGGACAATTTTGCCTACAGTACCCCTCAAGAAGGTCTTATTAAACTTGTAAAAGCCTCGCGGCAAGATCCTCAAAGCCTGCGAAGTCTTGATTAAATGAGAGATGATCTTTGAATTGGTCAGCCACATGAATAGACCAGAGTGTGAGAAACAATAATGATAAGGTTTGCCAGTTTCTTCACACAAATTGACCGAATTTGTCAGTTTTAGTCCAGTTTCAGAGCATTTATCGACCATTTCTGACCGGTAATGTAAAGATGGCATTCCACAGGCGTATTCCAAGCCTTCTACTACTTTTCTGAAAATATTTAAAATTGTAAAGAAAGTTCTTGCCATTTCATGTTTTGTGAAGAAAATTCTTGCCATTTTTTGTCATAACAACAAAGTTCGTCATTATGCAGCCTGCGGGTGATAGGTTATACGAAAAATGCCGATCTTGGTTTTGTAAAGAAAGTTCTTGCTATTTTTTGTTTTGTAAAGGAAGTTCTTGCCGTTTTGAATTAAAATAACAAAGTTTGCCGTTCTGCAGAATGCGGACGACAAGTTATACGCAAAATGCCATATCAAGTTTTGTAAAGAAAGTTCTTGCCAATTCTTGTCTTGCAAAGAAATTTCTTGCCGTTTTATTTTTTTTAAAGAAAGTTCTTGCCATTTTACGTTTTGTAAAGAAAGTTCTTGCCATTTTAAACCCTAAAACCAAAAAAAAATTATTTTAAAACTCTTGCCTGTGCTTCTCGTTGTTCTCATCATACTGATCAGTCTTTACCAAATCATAAATGACAAACTTTCCGCCGGGCTTTAAACATCGTGCGACTTCTTTTAGAATCGGCTCCAAATCTTCGAAATATTTCAAAGCATAAATGGCATAAGCACAGTCCAGACTAGCATCTTCAAATGGCATTTTGTGACAGTCGGCCTCGATCAGCTTGCATTTTTGATCATATCCAAGTTGTTTTAGGGCTTCATTACCTACTTTTACTTCGTTTGAAGCGATGGTAACTCCAGTTATTGAGGCTCCTGTGTGGGCAATCTCTTGAATCACCTGAAATACAGAATGTTAACTTAAAAAATTTTAAATTTTATCAACAATGGCAAGAACTTTCTTACAAAATATAAAATGGCAAGAACTTTCTTTACAAAACTAAAAATGGCACTTGTCGTATAACTTGTCACCCGCAGACTGCAAAATACGAAAAAAATGATTTTTTGGCTTAAACTTGCAAGAACTTTCTTTAAAAAACATAAAATGGCAAAAACTTTCTTTACAAACCATAAACTGACAAAAACCTTCTTACCGTGCCAATGCCGCATCCAATATCAACACACGTGACACCTTCTTTTAACCCCAATTCTTTTGCAATTCTTTGATGTAACGAGTTCAAAGCCTCTTCCAAGGTTTGTCCATCTTCAGATGGCGGTACAAAATGAAAATTTCCATTGAAATATTCATTTATAACGGCCGACATGACACTATAATAGTGAGAGGTAACCTCACCATGATCTTTTGTTTTCTTGGCAATTGAGAACAGGCGGTCATGCTCTTTGTTGAAGGCTACCTAAAATGAAGATTTAAATAAAAAAAGCTTGAAATTAAAATAAAAAATTTTTATTTACCATGACTTTTTCACAAAAAAAGTTGAATTTTGGCGTTTTTAAGATTAATTTTTGAAACTTAGTAATGACTTCAATTTATAAGCATAAATCTTGAAATTTTAGGTAATAAACTTAACTAGACTACACTATAATTTTACAAAATTTCTTTTTTATCGAATAAAAAATGGCATTGTTATAGTTACAAAAAGCTAAAAATAAGAAAATTTCAAAAAATTTAAGGAAAAACGTTACAGATTACTTTACCCTACCCTCCCTAGCCCTACCCAACTTTTCCTACTCTATTCTTACTCTTCACTAGCCCTAACCCACCCTAACCTACCCTAACCTACTCTACCCTACATCAAAAAAAAGTAAAAAAATAGAAATTTTCTCCTCTACCAAACACAAAACTCGCAATTTTTTGGTTTGTTTTCCGTATTTTTGTCTCTTTCGCTGACCTCCAAAAATGATCAACCATTTCGTTCCCCTACCCTGTGAAGAGAGAGATCAAGGAAAAAGAGCGTCGCAGCGACAAATTGAAGGGAAAGAGCTCTTACAGATCGGACAAACATATAACAAACATATTTTGGCTTAATTTTGTAATTTTTAAAATTATATTATAATTTTAAAAAATTTAAAAAAAATTAATTGTAAAATACGCTAACGTCCTATATGACAAAAAGAAACCAAATAATACGTTACCAAGGTAACGGATAATGTATTATAAAGCAATTATTCACAGGTCGGGTTGGGAGGGGTAAGAAAGATAGGTGTCTAGTGTAGGACAGGGTAGAGCAAGACAAGGAAAGGCAAGGCAAGGCAAGGCAAGGCAAGGCAAGGCAAGGCTCTTTTACTGTATAAAACATACAAAAACTAGTGTTTTACCCCAACATGAATAATATAATCCATGTTTTGACATGAAGTGTGTGCAAACATTTCTGTTTGAAACCTTGGCCGTATGAATAGCCGGTTTTTAAAAATTCATAACGGCCATAAACAAAAAAACGTTGTTTCAAATGCACTAAAAATCCGTAAAAATGTGCCGAAACCATTTTGAGGCTATAGGAATGGGAATTCTGATATTGAACATTTATTAGTTTTAAAATTTTTTGACATTTTTGAAAATTTAAAATTGGTATGGCAATGTAATGTCAAGAAGGTTCTTTCAAAAATTTAAAGATACAGGTTAGAAAAGGGATGACTAATGATGAAAGAGGTAGACATGCCAAACAAGCAGGGCCCATTTTTTTGGCCTGGTTCAATCTAAATTTTGCTCAGGCCCGGTCCGATTTTTTTACGTGCAAATGGACTGGGCTTTTCGGACCGAGCTGGGCCTTGATTTTCAGGCCTAACCCGACCTCAATTTAGGTCGAGATCGGGCACGCTCGTTCCTCATGTCTAGAGAAAGACACAAGGAAAGGGGGGGGGGAGATAGTTTTTTTAAACATATTTTTGGAAAAAATCTTGGGCATGAGAAGAGGGAGGAAAGAAAAAAGAAACTTTAAAAAAATTTTTTTGCCCTGTCTTTCTCCCCCCCCTTTCTTTTAATATCCTACCTTATCCTTTCTACAACAGCTTACCCTGCGTTATCCTATAATTTTTTAAGGCTTTACAGTACGAGTTAGTAGCTTGATTGCACTGTTTCTTAGCCCTACCTTGTCTTTTTTTTAAAAAAGATTTATTTTCAACATAAATAGATTTTTTTTAATATTATTGTAAAATACGACGTATAGACCAAAAAGGAACAATATAAGTACAACTTACCAAATCATGTCTGCGAAAGTGCATTATAAGTCGAAAAAAGTTGGAAGTCATATCAATCGACATCTTGATTCAAAATTATGTTTTACTACGGCAATTGCAAAGTAAAATACGCCCTCTGCAGAGGCCTCTGTTATGTTTTTGGATTAAAAAATCTGAAAAAAACAAATCAAAATTTTAAATCAATAAAATCGCAAAACAAAAAATTAAAAACTTTTTTAAATTTTTTAAATTTCAATTTAAAAACGAAAATTCACGAATTTTTGAAAAACTCAAAGTTCACTTTTCAAAGTTTTTTCGAGATTTTCAGCGCAAATTTGACCCGATTTGGAAGCAAAAGATTTGGATGGCATTGAAATCCAAGGTAAGAGAGTTCCTCTTTTTATTTTTTTTTCGTTGAAAGTTAATGTAATTTGGAACATTGAAACTTGTAAACAAGAGCACCTACCCTACCCTACCCTACCCTACCCTACCCCCACCCTACCCTACCCTACCCTACCCTACCCTACCCTACCCTACCCTACCCTACCCTACCCTACCCTACCCTACCCTACCCTACCCTATCCTATCCTACCCTACCCTACCCTACCCTACCTTACATTATTGATAAAATGATGATCTTCTTCTAACAGCTTCGACCTAAAATACTCAAATTTTTCCCTATCATATTTTGCTTAAATTTGACCGCCAGACAAGTCATAATTTAAAGAATTATAAAACGCCAAAAAGTCTTGTCATTTTTATAGTTGAAAGTAATGTACAATGACAGCAAAACGCTAGGGAAATTTTTTAAGACCCTGAGATTACAGTAGGCAACAATGAAAAGGTTAATAATGTTACTCTAAAGTACAAATTCATGATTACAAATAACAAAAATTTCTTTTCTTTACTAACCAAAACCCATACTTTCTTCTTCCCTACCCTTATCCCTAGCAGGTCAACTTTAAAACCAAAAACAAATTTTTTAAATTTAAATTCAAGGTGAAAAAGTATTTTTTTTTCACAAATCAGTATTCAGTATCTTTAATCTTTCTTTCATTCTTCTACTTGCTGGCCGGGCCGCTAGCTGGCGAGGTTTGAGTAGAACTGTTACCGGACTTATTGTTTGGCGAGTTTGGTGTGTTCGGCGTGGTTACACCTGAAAATCTTAATGTAAGTCTGGGTAGGAGTAAGAAAGAAATAAAGGTAGAGTTAAAGTCAGTAGTAAAGGAAAGACTTGAGGTGAGGGCACAGTAAAGGTAAGACCAAGGCTTACATTAAGGGTAAGGGTGGGGTAACAAAAAGGTAAGAGCAAGGCTAAAAGTAAGATTAAAACTAGGACCAGGGCTAGAGCATAAGCTAAAGGGTTAGGACCAGGGCTAGGGCTTTTGGCTAGGGCTCTTGGCTATGGCTCTGGGCTAAGGCTCTGGGCTAAGTAGGGCCTTAGACTAGGACTCCGGGCTAGGAAGGGCTCTGGGCTAGGGCTCTGGGCTAGGGCTAGGGCTCTGGGCTAGGGCTCTGGGCTAAGGCTCTGGGCTAGGGCTCTGGGCTAGGGCTCTGGGCTAGGGCTCTGGGCTAGGGCTCTGGGCTAGGGATTTAGGCTAGGGCTCTAGGCTAGGGCTCTGGGCTAAACTTAAATTTCAAAAATTAAAACCCACGCCCATGAGTGACGATGCCATCAGGTGGATTCACAGGGAGATTCGGCGTCTTAAAGTCCATCATGTTTCGTTCTTTCGGTGGACTTCTGGCTGGAGTGGGTGGAGTGAGAGCGATGCCAGAGTGACTAGAATCGGTGCTCTGGGCACCGTCTTTGGCTGTCGCATTTTGAGGCGGTGACACTGGCTTCGGCAGGTGAGGTTGAGGGTTTGGAGACTTTACGTCACTTGCGCTTTGCCTAAAAAATTTTTATTTTTTTATTTTTACTAACAGTACAGTCGACGTATTTTAAAAAATTGAAGAAAAAACTTGATTGAAAAGAAACTTCTTGCCATTTAATGTTTTGTAAAGAAAGTTTCTGCCATTTAATGTTTTGTAAAGAAAGTTCTTGCCATTTTATGTTTTGTAAAGAAAGTTTTTGTAATTTTTTGTCTGTAAAGAAAGTTTTTGCCATTTTAACTATAAATCCGCCTTCAATTTTTCCTGATCCTTCCCTACTCTACCCTACTTTACTTTACTTTATTATATCCAACCTTGCCCTACTCTTTCTTACATAATTTTGCAATACTCTACCTTGCCCTACCTTAACCTACAGTAACCTACCTTACGTTATTTTGCCTTTCCCCATCCTTTACCCTTTTTTAGCAACTCACTTTGCCAACTCCATCTTCTTCTCTAGACTCAATGCATTCGTATCCAGTGTCGGCTTCAGGGTCACAAACGATATCTCCAACTTCTCCGTGACCAGCATTACCGACGCACAATTACCATCCAATCCACAGTAATTTGGAGCCGAGAATACTGTACATACCTGATTCTTTTCGCCAGCAAATTGATGACCTTCGGCTGTTACCTCGTGAGCTCTCACCACGAGGTCAATGTTTAGCATTTCACAGAATTCCGTGATGACATCGTTGCCAAACATCCACGACGCATTCCGAATCTTGTTGTACTGCCAGCCCATGGAACATGTGTCTTGGGTTGGGTCGGCCCACATTAGGTCCAGCGGTATGCCTGTGTCACATTCATTGTTGTTGCGAGGTTTCTGGAATATTGATCATGTGTTAGGCTTAAGATTAAAGTAAATAACAAAATGACAAAAACTTTCATTACAAAACAACAAATAGCAGAAACTTCTTTACAAAACAAAAAATTGCAAGAACTTTCTTTACCAAACATAAAATGGCAAGAACTTTATTTACAAAAAATAAAATGGCAAGAACTTTCTTTACAAAACATAAGATGGCAAGAACTTTCTTTCCAATACATAAAATAGCAAGAACATTCTTTACAAAACATAAAACAGAAAGAACTTTCTTTACAAAACATAAGATGGCAAGAACTTTCTTTCCAATACATAAAATAGCAAGAACTTTCTTTACAAAACCAAAATTTCAACTTTTTGTTTTGTAAAATACGACTTTGCTATAAAAATCTTCAAATATATACCTGTAACTTCCTCAACGAGTCCCAGCTCTTGATGTCCGGTGAGATGCCTCCATGCATGGTCAGTATCTTCTTGTTCACCAACGCACTCAACGGCAGTTCATTAAAGCATCGTTGAAACTTTTTCCAAATGAAAATGTTCCTCTTTCGCCGACATTCCTCGTAAAACCCGTAGTTTCGATTCATTTTGGCACATTCGTGGTTCCCTCGCAGCAACGTGACCTGGTTCGGGTACTTGAGCTGATAACAAAACAAGAGTACGGTAACTTCCAGCGAGTTGCGACAACGATCAACATAATCACCCAAACATAGGAGACGAGTCTGCGGAGGGCGACCGACAATGTCCAGGAAACGTTGAAGGTCTGACAGTTGGCCGTGAATGTCTCCTGGAATATAGAAATTTCAACAAACAAAAAAAAATTTTAGTTTAAAACTACCCTGCCCTACAGTACCCTAAGCCCTACCGTACCTTAAGCCTTACCGTACTCTAGGCCCTACCGTACCCTAGGCTCTACCGTACTCTAGGCCCTACCGTACCCTAGGCCCTACCGTACCCTAGGCCCTACCGTACCCTAGGCCCTACCGTACCCTAGGCCCTACCGTACCCTAGGCCCTACCGTACCCTAGGCCCTACCGTACCCTAGGCCCTACCGTACCCTAGGCCCTACCGTACCCTAGGCCCTACCGTACCCTAGGCCCTACCGTACCCTAGGCCCTACCGTACCCTAGGCCCTACCGTACCCTAGGCCCTACAATTCTAGACCCTACCGTACCCTATGCCCTACCCTATCCTAGGCCCTACCGTACCCTAGGCCCTACCGTACCTTAGACCCCGCCCTACCCTACTCTACCCTACCCTATTCTATAATAAACTACCCTACCTTACCTCATCCTTCAACTTTTAAGGCTCTCTCGTACCCTTCTGTACCCTTAACCTACCTTACGTTGTTCTACACTATCCTACACTATTCTACCTCACGCTACCATAAGCTATCCTACCTTACTCTGCTGGCCTTACCTCATGCTTGACCTACAATACCCCGTTCCAGCCTAAGGTTGATTTCCCCAAGTCTTAGCGTAGTTTTAGCTGTAACGTAATTGCTGTTAATACCCTAACCTTTCCTAATATAATATATAATATAATATAGCAATTAAATTTTCTAAATTTACCCCAGCCAATTTTTTAAAAAAACGCAAAAACTGATACCAGTATTTTACCAAAAAAATCTTCTAACCCATATATTATTATCAAATCTGATCAGATCAGATCAACCAAAAAAAGTTATTAGGTTTCAAACATATCAAGATCAAAAAAGATATCAGGTCCCGGCCGGGATCGAACCGGCGGCCTTCTGCGTGTAAAGCAGACGTGATAACCACTACACCACGAGACCCGTGCCTCTCGGTTTTCTGTTTTCTAACAAAAAGGTCTCTCTTCTTTTGATTTTTTATCAGTCACAAGCGATCTGACCTTTTCTTCGTTTGAAAAAGTGATTTTGATTTGATTTCAGCTACGGTAGAGCTTAAAAGTACGGTTTTAGGGCTATAAAACAGCCCAAAAAAATTAAAAATAAAGACTTTTTTTGTTATAATATAGTAAAAAAATTTCAGAGAAATAAATTGTCATGCCTAAAATCAACTTTTTCACTAACAGCAGTGCCATTATAAATTAAAACCAACTCAAAAAAGGCCACAAACTGCAGGATTAGAGCCGTTTGCGCTGCCAAAGAGACAAAAAGGGAATAAAGAGAGCTTTTCATCTGTGGTCTCGTGGTGTAGTGGTTATCACGTCTGCTTTACACGCAGAAGGCCGCCGGTTCGAACCCGGCCGGGACCTATCAGCCTTTTTGGATGAAATTTGCTTTAAAACTTCAGTTTTGTGTAAAATACGGCGTTCAGAACTTTTTTTACTTACGAAAAATTTTTTAAAAAATAATAAATATGAATTTTCATTCAAAATTGGGGTTTCCCTTAAATTTTCAAGTTTTTTGCAGAAAAAGCTATTTGAATTTTTTTTAAAATTTTTAGAAATTTTTTAAAATATTTTACAAATTTTAAATAATTTTTTTCAATTTTTTAAAATTTTTGACAATTTAAAAATTTTTTTTTAATTTTTTTTAAATTTTTTTTTAATTTCAAAATTTTTAAAAACCTCACCAAAAATGACCAAAGGCGCGTTCATTTCCACCATAGCCGGCAGTTTCCGCAAGTGTTTGTAACTGCGGTTCAGGACGTAGATGAGTTCTTCATTCGTAAAGCCATCAATATGTTTGTCGACTTCGATGCGGCGGATCATACGAGTCACAAGGCCACGAAACAAATCTTCATATTCGGCTGAAAACGTGGAGGTAAAATACGGTAATCATAAGCCTTGCAGTTTACTCACCATGCGCCATGAAACTAACAACAATTAATCAAGTTTTGTGAAAACCGACCGGTCAGTAGGTTGAAAGTGTTGAGAAATGGCATTTTTTTCAATTTTTTTAATTTCAAATTGAGATTTTAAAAAAATTTTGTAAATTGACAAAAGATTAGTTTAGAAAATTTAAAATGGCAAGAACTTTCTTTACAAAATATAAAATGATAAAAACTTTCTTTACAAGACATAAAATAGCAAGAACTTTCTTTACAAGACATAAAATAGCAAGAACTTTCTTTACAAGACATAAAATGGCAAGAACTTTCTTTACAAAACCTAAAATGGCAAGAATTTTCATTAAATAACTTGAAGTGTACATCAACGTATAAGATGTCACCTGCAGGCTGCTAAACATCAAAGTTGTTTCATAAAATTGTGAATCACAAGAACTTTCTTTACAAAACACAAAATGGCAAAAACTTTCTTTAAGTAAGGACACGCCCACTCGGGTGGATCCGCTCCTGGCCCGATCTAAATCGGGGAGAATAACGTGTGAACGTCTGGGACGCGGTCGCGTCCGTTTTGAACCTTTATATTTGTAAGTCTGATGTTTCCCTACCTTGGGATGTACACTTTAGGTGTAAGTAGTAATCAATAAACTTGATAATATAAAAGATCTGGGCCATCTTTTAATTTTTATAACACTGCTTGCTTACGTATTTTACAACGGTTTTTTTATTTATTTTTTTTTATTTTTTTCACTGTTCCTGAACGTTCCTGAGCGTTCCCTAATCTCTCTTCCATTACAATTTATTTTTACTCTTGACCAAACGCATTTTTATTTTCGGCAGTTCAATGGGCCGTCTTTTTTTGGTGTCGCCTTAGGGCCAGAAAGACGGGGGAGGCTTTTTCAGATGGCCATAAGGCCAAAAAGAAAGCGAAACTCTCCGAATTTGGGCCTATTTTTACACCTTTTCCTATATAAAATGGGTCGTAATTTTACGATTTTACAAAAAAATTGATGTTTTCTTGAGGGGTTTTTGAAAAAAAAATGAAAAAATGAAAGGGTTTAGGTATTAAAATTTAGTTTTTTTAGTTTTGTAAAGAAATTTCTTGCCATTTCATGTTTTGTAAAGAAAGTTCTTGCCATTTTATGTTTTGTAAAGAAAGTTTTTGCCATTTTATGTTTTGTAAAGAAAGTTTTTGCCATTTTAATTACCATTTGATTTTTGATACAAAACAACAAAAAATTGGTTATCGTTCGTATAACTTGTCACCAGCAGGTTGCAGAACATCGAAGGAAACATGAAATGGCAAGAACTTTCTTTACAAAACATGAACTGTCAAGAACTTTCTTTACAAAACATGAACTGGCAAGAACTTTCTTTACAAAATATAAAGTGGCAAGAACTTTCTTTACAAAACATAAAATGGCAAGAACTTTCTTTCCACCGCTCAAATTGACCACAATTTTATCATACCTTGTTCCTGTGCATGGTTATAATGACAGTGGGGCGCGCTTTTCCGATTATTTTATTTTGTCTTTTGTTTTCATAGCCGGACTAAAATTCTTTCCTCTCTCTCTCTCCAGATTTCCATGAGTTCCACTTGGTTCGAAGCCAGCAAAAGGAAAAAGGGGTTTACCGCGCGGATTCAACCTTTTATATGTTGTGTTGGGTTCATATTAGAGGTGATTTGCATAAAATTTTGAAATTTTTTTGAAATTTTAAGAAATTGTAAGGCATGGGCTTCTTTTTGGGCTATTGGGGGAGGATTGGGATGGGCAGTTGTGTAGTTTTCTTTAAAAAAGACGGAAGGTAGGGAGGGAGGAGAGCTTCCGGAAGGGGATGAAACTACGGAGAAGAAGGCTGAGGGTATGGGTGTCGGGAGGAAGCGGAGGGGGAGATGGGTAAAGTACAAAATGGCAGTTGATAGATTTTTTTAATTTTTACGTTTGTAAAGAAAGTTCTTGCCATTTTATGTTCTGTAAATAAAGTTCTTGCCATTTGGTGTTGTGTAAAGAAAGTTCTTGCCATTTTAAATTTTGTAAAGAAATTTCTTGCCATTTATTCATAAAAACCAAGTTTTGTATGTCGCAACCTGCGGGTGACAAATTATACGAAGAATGTAATTTTTTGTTTTGGAAATAAAGTTCTTGTCATTTTATGCTTTGTAAAGAAAGTTCTTGCCGTTTTAGGTATTGTAAAGAAAGTTCTTGCCATTTTGTTTTTTGTAAAGAAAGTTCTTGCCATTTTGTCTTTTGGAAAGAAATTTCTTGTCATTTTATGCTTTGTAAAGAAAGTTCTTGCCGTTTTGTCTTTTGGAAAGAAATTTCTTGTCATTTTATGTTTTGTAAAGAAAGTTCTTGCCATTTTGTTTTTTGTAAAGAAAGCTCTTGCCATTTTTCGTTATTCATAAAAACCAACTAATATTTTTTTTAATTTTCAATTTGAATATGGAAAATACGTAAAAACCGATACAAGTATATGTTTTTATATGAATGCCTAATGTTAGCTAGAAGAATGATGAAGAATATATTCGAAGACTTCTTATTTTTCATCGTTCTTTCTGTTTTTTGCTAACGTGAGCATATCCATACATATATTATATCGTGCATAATGTTTGAGCGTCTACTATTTCTTTCTCTAGATGGCATTCATAATGCTGGTTTTTAAGAAATTGTTTGACTTTTCATTATCGGAGCCATTAGAGTATCCGACGTATTTTACATCACTATCTACCTCTAAAATATCAAAAATTCCTCATACCTTCAGGCATGTACTCTGACGTGATCGAATTCAACGTGAGTGGCACAATTCACAGCACGACCATCGAAACCATATCCCACGACAAACGCTCAGCACTATATCAATGGTATGTCGAGCACAAAGGATCATACCACTTGATAAAAGACAAGAACGGCCTCTTCTTCGTCGACCGTGATCCAGTGTGCTTCTCCATCGTTCTCAACTACCTACGGCTTCAGAAGGCGCGTCAGTTGTGGGAGGTGTGTTTGCCCAAGGATCCGGATCGTCTGGCATTGTTGACACAGGAAGCTGAATACTATAAGCTACCGGAGCTACGGGATCAGGCCATTGCTTTACTACAGAGCGCTGACGAACAAGGCAACAACTCGTACGTTAGCGAGGTTTGTGAGAACATGCTTCTGGGTTGGGCGGCCTGAAATAAGGTTTTTAGTTTAACTGATAATAGGAGTTTGTTACCTAAAATTGACAAAACGCGTGGATCTTAAATCGAAAAACGAAAAAAGTTTATACTTGTTACCAAAAATTGAAAAAATGCAAAAATTTCGACCTGAAAAGTGTAGAAAAAACGAAGAACATTCTTTTTGTTACCTAAAATTTAAAAAACGAAAACTTTTTATACCTAAAAATAAAAAGAAATATATTTGTTATCTAAAATTTAAAAAAAAATTGAAATTTCAGTTTCTTTCAAAGAGCGCAAGCTTCTCAACCGGCTTCGACAATCTGAATTTGAACGCTCATTAATCAAGTCACAAAATGGTACTGAAATGGTACTAAAATGGTACTACAAACTACTCCACAAACTAACCTACAAATATTTTTTAACCATTCTAGTGCATTTTTTGTAATGCTGTATTAAGGATACTGTATTTTTGTTTATTTTCAGCGTTTCTTTCGTCGTACGGTAATCATTATACGGTAATATTGTATCTCCAAGCCTTTTAGCTTTAAAACGGCTATTTTTGTCACAAATTTAACTCAAAAGTTAAGTTTTTATTCAGAAATGTCAGATATTGATTCAGAAATGAAAGATATGCTTACTGTGTTATTTTGATATTATTCATGTTATTATTCTTTTTTTGATAGTTGGTTACTTAATAAAATATACAAAACGTTAAAATCAGATGTGCTATATACGGTTCTTCTTTAATATTTTTTGAATTTCATATTTTTGTAATAATATGCCGTATTTTACCCATTTTCTTCGAGAAACCGATAAAACATGTGACACTTCGCTGCATTTGTGGCTTTTCGTCAAAAAGATCAAAGAAATAATTTTTTGTCGGTTTTTCTCTTTGAAGTCATGTTGAATTCCCTGTAAATATCTCAAATCAACTTTACTAACCTGTCATAATTATGTAAGTTATTTTTTATTTTGTGTTTTTTGATTTTAGGTAAATATTGCTGTTATTCATGAGGAAAACGGGCGAAATTAATGTTGGAATTGTTAAAATTGTATAGAACTCATTGTTTTGGGTAGAATAAGGTCTTTTCAAGGTATGAGAATGATTTTCATAAGGTGGGAAGTTGGTTTTAGTGTTTTGTGGGGTAAAATACGATATGTATACGTTTATCTTAAAATTGATTGAAATGTTAAATCTTTACCATAGTAGAACCCTTACTATAAAGTTGGCAAGATATCAAAGTGCAATTTGAGTGCTTTTTTACTCGTTTGGTTCAGTTTGAAGCTTGTTATAATAAGCACAACATTAAATGTTGGGATATCATAGTAGGTTGAGATGAAAGTTGGGTTTTCCAAAATAGTTATTATTGAAAATCGACAATACTTGATACATAGCTGCTTGAGGCTATGGTAATCAGAAAATATTTTTTGGGGTCAAAAAGTACTGTCACTTTTGTAAATTATGAATAATATCACGTCTTTTCACGAAAAATTCGGCTTTTTTGATGTTAACTTTCTTTTTGATTGCTAAAACCACCAAGATGTAGTTTTTCCAAGCTTTACTACAATATTTCCGACCCTCACAAGATGTTACATTTGAAAATTAGAAATAACAACATAAAACGGCTGTGAATTCTGTAGTATTATCAATTTTACAACAGTCTTTATCTTTTTTCCTGACCTTTGTCTTTTCAAAATTCGTTTTTTCGACTATTTTTTGTCAAAATACCCTTTTTTTATTGACCTTATATTGAAATTCTGTTTTATTGACCTTTTTCCCTTCCAATTGGGAAGGGAACGAGTTCAAAAAAGACATCAGAAACATTTAAAGCTGTTATCATAATCGTGATTATGTGGATGGGTCATGCGGCGGCGGAGAGGCTGCGTCTGTGCGCTGCTCCGACGAATTCGGATTGTGTGAGTTTTGGGAGTTGAATTTTGAGGGGATTTGAGGTTTTTTTGTTTGAATTTGTTATTTGAAGGTTGGGGAATGGTTGGCATGGATAATATCGAAATTTTGAAGCTTTTGTTACCTAAATTTTAAGGAAAAGTTATTTTTAAATTTAGAATGAATAAAAATGTTCAGCATAATAGTTTACACTTTAATCTTACAATTTCATACCTCCGGAATGAGGTGAGACACTTCCCTTGTTAGAAAATTTTGTTACCTTAACATCAAAATTTTAAAAAATGTTACCTAAAAACCGATTTCCTCCCCCAATATCAAAACTCCCCGATACTTAATGAACAATAATATAGGTTTTTGTTTTTCCAAAAATACTATCAAGTTGGTGTTTGCTCAAAAACATAATATTTATTCCGTGAGGTGTCTGATCAGTTCAATTTCGTGGACAAATTGAACTGGTTTTAATTTGTCAAATATTTTGGGAATTTTTTAGTTCAAAGATTAAATACTGGCTTGATCTTTGGGGTTTTGTAAAATACGATTAGTTTCTTGATCGTTGGGTACAGAGGGAGCACTTTTAATATTATTTTAAACTTTTTATTAAATATTGACTTGGAGGACCCAGTTCAAAAAAAATTTTTTTTCAGTAAAAAATTATGACATTTTCAGAATGACCTCACCTCCAAAAGACTCAGAAGACGTGTTGCATGTTGACGAGCCAGAAGTTTCAGAATCAGATTTTGCGAATTTCATCGATCATCAAATCGAACGTCTGATAAAGGAGGAACGTGCCAGATCACCTGAACTAACAACGATGGAGGAACTGAATATTGCTGTAGCGTTCTGTAAACGATTTTTAACTGATACGAATACTGATCATGAAAAACGGACACAAGTTATGGCCAAATTGGTGGATTTGAAATTGGAACAGGATCAGGTGGAGGTATGTTAACATTTTTTTGTTTTTTTGATGTTTAGGTATGAATGAAGGTGTGAATGGATGAAAATAAGATGTAAAGGATGTTTTCCTAATTTTAAAAGCATTTTTGAGCGTTGAGAGATAAACATTATAAGATTTTAGGCTATAGTTGCGGCTTGATGCATGGTGTATATAATATTATTGAAAAGTGGCATTTAACGGTTTTGAAATATGTTGATTTTGTTTTAGCTTGAGCATTATAGCATTAATAAGGCGTTTTGTAAAGTTTTTTTTTGTTTTACTATTCCAGTACAATATTTGTGGTGCTTTTAGGACCACCAACTATAATATAAGTCATGTAAAACAATATTGTCTAAAAAGAGCATCTAAACCTTTTCTAATAGTCACATACGATACAAACCCTTTTGATAAGACCATGACTAAACATTCAAGGCGGTTTGTTCTTCTTGAACTATTAATTTATGAGTGATTGCGAATAAAAGTGCAAAACGTTTTCGAATGGCCGTTATCAGAACAAACCACTGAACTTAATGCGTCTGGTGCCAATTAAAACACGAATTATGCGAGATAACAAAGGCCAATAACTAGACAATTAAGACAATTACTAAATATAGAAACAAAGCCGAACAAAAAATTTGAATATCTTGCGTAGACGTGCAAAAAAATTAAAAAGGTATCTGATATGACAAAAATTTTAAAAAAATGAGCAAAAAATGAAAAATCTTGGGATGGTGTATAGGAAAAAGAAAAAATAGCTAGACAGTCACTATGCCACAAAGAATGGCAATGAGCAACAAAAAATGAAAAAAGAAGCTGGACTGATATCAAGTGTAATATATAAAGATTGACAGAGAAGAAAACTTTTAAATTTTGAAAATTGACATCACGAAGTTGTGAATGTTATTTTTAAAGTCAATTTTCACGTTATCCATGTTAAGGACTCAAATTTCTGTGATGGACAATATTTTTTTAGAAATTTGATATTGAACTGAAGCTATTTTTGGTTTTTTAAGTCAATATTTTTAATGGTGTTTGGATGAACTTGGGGTTCTAGATAATATGTATTTACATCAACCTTGATTTTTGCTGGAACACGGTTTTGAAAAAATTTTGTAAAAAAGTGGAGCTTAGTGTGCCTTTGCAAGACGTAGTTTCTGATCGTTCTTTGCAGAAAGAAACTGATAATTTTAAAATGGTATACGGAATAAGTATAATTTGTTTGTTTGATAAACAGCTTGCTCTTATTGATGACTTTGCAGGTTATCATAACACGAATCATGATTTTAGGGATTATGTGAAGTCTTGCACACATCTTCCACATGTGTACTAGAGTTAAAATAATGCCTAAAGTCATAATTCGATTGTGAAAATTTTTGGTATGGAAATATTAGCCGAGATGACATAGGTATAAAAATAAAATGGCAATAGCTATTTGTAGTTCGAATTTTGGCATTAGTTTCATAAACAGTGGCTTTGGTAAGCCGACATCTCAGGTTTTGCTTATTATCAGCATCGTGTTGATAATTGTTTTTCAAAGTGCGAACGTCTACTCTGTAGTAGAAGACAGTAAAAATAAGTTTAGAAAACAAAAAACAGATTGATAAAGACATAAAATACACAATATTTGAATGATGAAACCAGACTTTCGTTGATTTTCTAATGAGTTACAATTTGTTATTCGAATTTTTAAATAAACATCAAAACGTGTGTTACTTGAAACAAAAAATGATTTATGGTCTTGAATTTGGGAGTTTGAGGTAGAAAAATAGACTTGAAATGAAAAGAATAGCTTCAAAATTGGTATTCTGGATATTGACGTAGATTTACTTTGTGATTTGTAAATTATAGGCAGCACAATCATTTTTAAACCTAGGTTCTTCAGTAGCATACAATGAAAGTTATGTTGAGTTACAAAACGTTAGACTTCTGGGTTTAAAAATGATTGTATTTCGTATAATTTACAAATCGCAACGTAAATATACGTCAATATCTCGAAGGTTAATTTTGAAGCTATTCCTCATCACTTCAAGCCTATTTTTTACCTCAAACTTTTAGATTCAAGACCACAAATCATTTTTTTTGTTTCGAGTAATACACGTTTTGTTGATGTTTACTTAAAAATTTGAACAAAAAATTGTAACTCGTTGGAAAATCAACGAAAATCAGGTTTCGTCATTCAAATATTGTGTATTTTTTCGGCCGTTATCAAACTGTTCTTTGTTTGTGTAGGTTTATTTTTTCTTGCTGGTCATTCGATTCGTCGTGTTTTCATGTGCAGATAATGCGAAAAATTGGCGGTTTTAAGGAAGGAATTCAATTGGAATTGTGGCAATTTTGTGTTTTGAGTAGTTGGAGTCTTTGGGGGTGGTAGTGGAGTTTTAAGGTTAGTTTTGGGGTTGTTTTGACACTGGTTTTAAGCTTCTTGTTAGGTTGATAGAAATTTGGCTTCTAAATTGGTTCGGCTTCGACTTTACTTTATCGTTCTTTGAATACATCTTTACAATTTGCTTTAACTCAGATCTAGAAAATTTTATTTTTTTGTGCTATTCGAGTCTTTTAATTAAATTTTTACAGTTACGGTTACTGTAAGGAAAATGTAACAGTTATGGTTACTGTAAGATAATGTAAAATACGTAGATCTGTCTATTTGTTTGGCTAATTTTCAGACAAAATCAAAGAACTTTGAATTCCTTCTTTATCTTATATTCTTTTTTCGAGGAACTTGTAGGTTGGAACTGATGAATGACGTGCAAAAAGCAAGAAACGGCTGATATTCATGTTCTTGTTGTGACGTGACATGATTTATCATAATGATTAGATTAAGTTAGTAATAATAATTAGATTTCATCGGCTGGTCAATAAATACAAGCAGAAGTGTTGAATAACGAAACACTTTATAACGAACAAATTGGAAATTTCCGAGAGGTTCGTTACATTTCTAAAGTAATACTGACTGGCCATATTTTGTGAAATACAAATTAGTTTGCCGGACAGGTAGGTTTAAGCTGGGTGGGTAAGGTAATCTCAGCTGGCTTGTCAATGTGATTAAAAAAAGGTCATCATTTTCGATTTCCTTATTCACCCGCCAAAATGCTGACATGAGGTTTTCTTGCTTTGACTATTTGATCAGCTGTTTTGCTCTTTTATAGTGTTTGATGCTTAAATAAAGGTTGTCGTATGAGGTATCTCTAAATAGTTGTTTTCAAAGTTACGGCTTTCAACGTTTTTTGAGGTTTGGAAATACCTTTCGAACTTCCTTTTGATATTTTACTTTGATTATTTTTAATTTCAGAAGCATATAGCGTGTTTTACATTTTCTCAAATCTGTTGCTTATTTTAGATAGTACTATGTTGGTATTATCTGCTGCATATCTAGTTGACGAAGCAGTAATAATAAAGTTGCAGTTTTCTTGGTGATTTTTTTTAATGGTAGCTTGTTCATAGTTTTTAATATTTTGATGCAAAATGTTTCATTCTTTATCAGTCAAATATTCTCAACCAGTAGCTTAAGACCTCAATCTTTCAATCACAAGTTCTCATTCTGTCTGAGGCTATATCGCTCATAATAACTCGCTTAAAACATGACGCCACAGTTTGTGAACTATGTGCTTTCTCATGAAACTGTTTGTGAACTATATTATTGCTTTTTTGAGCTTTATGACAATACCTTTTTAGGCATACTTTTTGGAAGAAAGAAGGACTTTGCTTTTTTTGGATATTATGGATTTGTCGTTTCGAGTAATATGATCTTTATCTCTCATATAGTTTATGCGATTTGGTTTAGTCGTATAAGGTCTCGTTCTGACTGCCATTTTGCATATGTCACGTAGCTTTTGCGAGCAGGTTTTGTTAGAAAAAGGTCGTTTTCATATGGGTATGTCATAGCTTTTTATGTGTGGGTATTCTGATTAGCTTGTAGTGACTTCTTTTAATTAGCTTGATAAAGGCCAGTAATAAGGCTCTTAGATAATCTTGATTCTGATTAAAATTCTGATTTGTTCTAACAATTTTTTTTGGTTATCAGATGTCACAAACTTTTCCCTTTTTTGGCTGTAAGATTGTCGCAAACGTGGGTTTTTAAATTTTCGATCTCGGTGTGATTGAGTTTCGTCATTCTTATGACTCTAAACCCAGCCTCAGAAACGTTCCCATGGCGTCCGGAATCGGCGCTGATAACGGGGTGGAACGAGTGTCATGTGCAATTTAAAAGGCTCGATGTCTCATGAATTTTTGCTGACTTTGTTTTGTCACCATAAGACTGTAGGAGAGGGGTATTTGGAGGGAGGAGGGGAGACGGAATAGAGGAGATAGACATAATACAGTGCGACGGGCGGGGGAGATAAAGTAAAGTAGGGTAGAAACTTTAAGTGTTTAGTAAGTTAAATCTATTGTGAAAATGATAGGATTGAAAGAATATTTTATAGTTTGGCATGGTGCATATTCATACGGTCTTGAGGTACTAGGTAGAAGTAAAGATAGATAACACTAGATAACTTTTTTATTCAGTAGATAACACTTAATAAAAACTATATAAAAGTACTCCACTATCTTATTAATTTTGTAGCAGAATATAAAAAAGCTACAGTAGCTGATCAAGAATTTAATTAGATAGTATAAAAAGCTACAGTATGCAATCGTGACTCAAAGTAGACAGCATAAAAAGCTACAGTAAGAAGTCATGACTCAAAGTATATAGTTTGTTGTAGTGATAAAGAAATCTGGAACTATTAATTAGTTTTTTATTGTCTTTGTTTGTTCCTGATTGTTTGTGGTTTCGAGAGGGTCGCGACATGCCTTCTGGGGTCTTGAGAGTAGCATTAATTAGTTGAACCCTGGCATTAAGAAAGCTAGGATAGAGACCAGTCTAGCACAAATAATCAGTTGAAGGGAGGTGGAGATTATGATGGAATAAAGGTTGGTGGAAAGGATGGAGGTTGTTATACTTGGTGATGTTTATGGTCTGGCATTGAGGTTTGTGAATGATTTCACTTTTTAACTTTTAAACCTCACGCTATGACTCTAGGCACTGGCAATTATAATGACGTTTATTTTTTGATCAACCTTTATCTTGGACTATTCTTGAGCTTCTTCTAAGTATATTATCAAGTCAGACTGATCTCTATCTTAAACGTCTTAGCGTCAAATTTTAGCTAATTAATCCTGATCTAAAGGCCCCAGAAGGCATGTTGCAACTCTCTCGGACAAAAAAAAATGAGGAACAAACAAAGAAAATAAATAACTAGATAGTTCCAAGTTTTTTATTTCTACAAAAAACTATATACTTTGAGTCACGAGTTCTTACTGTAGCTTTTTCGACCCTACTTTATGTCACGTTGGCTTACTGTAGCTTTTTTTATTTTATTCTTTGCTACATGACTATTAATATTGTAGAGTGCTTTTGTATATTTTTTAAAGTGTTATCAACTGAATAAAAAATTTATCTAGTGGTGTTTATTTTTACTTCTATCTAGTATCTCAAGACCATACGAATATGCACTATGCCAAACTATGAAATATTCTTTCTACTTTATCATTTTTGCAATATATTCAACTTACTAAACAGTCAAAGTTTTAAGTCTATCATGTAATCATTTATATAATTTGGACCTACTGTCATATAATAGTATCACTTTGCCTTAGCAACTTGGTTTATTCATTGTGGTTTTGAAAATATGTCAAGTTATTGTACGAATGTGACGCGTTAAATATCTTGTAAAAGCTTGTATTGAAAAAAATGCTTGCAGTGTGTAAAATATGTCAATAAAAATGGACGATCTAGACCAAATGGAGCGGTTGCATACACTTAGAATGGTGTGTATTATTAATTTAGTGAATTTTTTAAAAATATTATTATACGTTAACATTACAAACCATAGTTAAACTTAAATAGAAGATATTATCTGATGGTTTTATACTAAACACGGTCTAAAATTTACTCAAAAATAAAATTAAAGTTTTAAAATAGAGAAAGTATCAGTTAAAATTTGGATAAAAAATATAGAAATTGACTTTAAAAATTTTTAGGAGCAAATTCAACGTGGTGAATTTGTGGATTCGATGCGAAAACATCGTGGACATGAATTTTCAATTCAATCAAGTAGTGGTAGAAACCCATACTGTGAGATTTGTCTTTCAACAATCTGGAGAATTGGCCAGCCTTGGAGGAAGTGCAAAGGTAAAAATTTATGAAAAAATTTGAATTTTGAAAATTGGCTTTGTTATGGGGCACAGATTTATTTGAATAATCTAATAAAGCACCAAAAATAAAATTGGCATTTTAAAGTAAATTTTTTTAATTTTTATTTTTTACAAAAAAACTCTATTTCATTACAGTATGCGGCCTCCGAACCCACGACAAATGCATAAAGGACGTAAAACGACCCTGCGCTGGCCTAAAAACTCGCCGCGACAACTTCAAACTCAACTTAAGCCTATGCCCAGAGAGTGGTCTAATGGCTCAAACCTACAAATGTGCCGAGTGCCTGAGGCCAATCGGCTTTGGAAAAGGTCCAGAGCTGGAGCCGAGAATTTGCGACTATACTGGAAAGTACTATTGTAAGAAATGTCATTGGAATGACGAAATGGTCATACCGGCTAGAGTGGTTAGGAATTGGGATTGCACTAAGCGACCGGTAAGTGGGGGTTGCGTTGGATATGGTGTTATAGTAATAGTACTAGTATAATATAATAGTAAAATTTACTGGTACTAGTAATAAAAAGTTTTAAAAATTGTTTTTATAGTCTTTTTCGAGGCTAAACAATATGATGTTGTAGGTATGCCGAGCTTCAAAACAGCTTCTCTCTTTGGTCGAACAAAAGCCCATTATCAACCTAAACCGGGACAATCCGGCCTTATTCAAATATGTGAATTCACTACAGAAAATGCAAACTTTGAGGAGCGCGATTATGTTCATGAAATGCTATTTTGTCTGCTGTAGAGTAAGATTTTTAAATTTTTGAAAATTTTTCGAAATTTTTAAAAATGAAAAAAAAATCAAAAATGACTTTCCTATCTTTAGCAAGCCCGCAAACTCCGCATTCTACAACATCTGAACAAGTATCAACATTTCGTGGAGTCAGAAGACATGTATAGCCTAGTGGATTTGGTACAGATTGCTACAGGCACCATCGTTCATGAAATTGAACAAATCGTGGAGATATTCAGAACCCACATCACTAATGACTGTGAAATCTGCAAAGGAAACGCGTTTATCTGCGAATTGTGCGATGATGATCATGTAAGTTGGGCTAGTGTCTTTTGGGGTGGGTGGTGGTGATTTAAAAAAATTTTTTTTTGAAGTTTGAAGTTTCTTGAAATGATGATTTTTAAAACTTTTTTCAAAATTTCACTTATAAATTTAAAAATTTCAGTTGATTTTCCCATTCAATGAAGGAGTATCCATCTGTAAAACGTGCTACGCCTGCTTCCATAAGCCTTGTTTCGATAGGCGGTCGAAAAGATGTACAAGATGCCAACGAAGACGGTCAAGGAAAACCGTCGTTACAGTGGAAGAAGACGAAACAGAAGAGGAATTAAGCGAGGAATCTGAATCAACGAGAAATGAATGCGAATCAGAAGCAAAATGTTGTGAATCTTCATCGAAAAACGGGCTGGAATTGGAGAAAAGCTGTGGTTTAGAGGGTGGAAAGGGTGAGAAAGGTTCAGGTTTTTGTAGGAAAGATGGAGGAGGGCTAGAGAAAGGAGATGAAAAAGGTCAGGAAAAAGCAGAGGTATCAAAAGAGCAATCAGAAGTAAATAAAAATGAAAAGAATGAATCAGAAGAGGTGAAAAATCAAGAAAAAGTAGAAGTAAAAGGTCAAAAAGAATTAGAAGAACTGAAAAATGAAGAAAAAGTAGAAGAGAAAGCATAAGAAATGGATGAAAAGAAGGAAGATCATAAAGAATTGGAAAAAGATGAAGAAGAGGAAGTGGATGGACAAGAACAAAAAGGAGGTGAAATAGAAGAAAAAGTAGGTGGCCAAGAAGAAAAAGAAAAAAGTAAACGCAAAAGAAGAAAAGGATGATTAAATGTAAATAAAACTTGATGATAGGAAGTTGAAAAATGAATTTTTCGTCATAAAATTGAACAAATCTAGGGTCTTATGGTATAAAACTTTTTTTAAATCTTGTAGTAGGCAAAAAAAAGAGTAAACTAGTTACTTTTCATGTACAAATGATGTATTTTACTAATCAAATATTGATATAAATTGTATTTTATGTATCGCGGTATAACTAATATCTTTATCAGTATCTATTGATATGCTTTTATAATCATATCTTGATGTTATACCTACTTTTGGTACATCTAATGGCTTATATTGTAAATTATCTTTTTAATCTTTAATACACAGTATTATCAATGTTTATATGACCGTATTTTATTGTGATTTTGAAAACGAACGGTGATGTATTTTTAAAGTCAAGTCAAGATAATGTATTTCTTTTAAAAAATTAAAGTTTTATGTTTAACTATTGCACATCTGTCTTACAAGTTCATCTTGTTTTAACTTTGTTACTAGACTTTCATATATTGTGGCAATAAAATTGAAAATGAAAAAGATTAAAAAAGCCTTACTTTTGAAATTTTGAAGTATTTTAGTGTTATCATATAGACCGAGGGATGAGCTATGGTGGAAAGAGAAAATTTAAACGATGAACATGGTCGCCATATTGATTTCAGGTAAAAAAATCTACCATTTCTTACCCATAGGCAAAAAAAGTTTTTTTTACTCCCTCTAGGAGCTGAAAGAGATCAAACTAGGCCTGGCAAAAGAAAATTTGAGAAAGGCCGGCACATTTGGCCCGACTCCTTCCTAGACCTGAAAGAGGTCAAGCTAGGCCTGACCAAAGAAAACTTGAAAAGGGCTGGCTCATGTGGGCCCGAGGGCTGAAACCCAAATCCAAGACCTGTAGCCGGTGTCATAAGAATTGAGCCGGGTTCTTTACCGGTCGGTTCTAACCAGTGTTTGCATTTTTGAAATTTTTGGCTCCAGCTCCGGCTCCGACCTTTTTTCAAAGTGGGCTCCGGCTCCGGGCTCCGGAGCCCTTATTTTAGTCCGCTCCGGCTCCGGGTCAGATTTTTTAAAAAATGGTTAAAAACCGTTAAATTTGGTGTTATTGACGTGTTTTGCCATATATAACAACATTTATTATAAGAAATTGAAAGATGTAACAAAAAAATATATAATTTAACAAAACAAAGTTAAACTTTACTTTGTGTACGAACTATTAAACCCTATTAGCCTCTTTTGCCTGACCAACACGTTTAGATTTTCAAAACTTCGACAGGGCTACTGCTTGCAATCTGCTAAAGAATTGTTCATGCTGGCTGAATCTAGTAGCTAAAGTAAAAGGATTGAATGTAAATCTAGCTAAAAGTTTGTAATTTTTCTTCAACCTGGCCTGGTCTGCCTAATGTCGCGTCGTAATTAAGTTTTAGTATATTATTAGTGGTGTTTTTAGAGCATTTTTTTAATCAAACAAAAAGCAATAAGCGTTTGCACGCAGCGAAGTTCGAACCTGCGAGTGCAACACCGATGGATAACGCTTTATCCATTCCGCTATATGATCACGCTCTCCTTTTCTTTCGTTTCTCTTCTTTTTGGGAAATATATCACAACAAATCGCAAAAAAAAGTTTTTTGTCCTCTTTTTCCCCGAAAAAGCACCCGTAAGCTCCGCCCTTCTTTTTGAAAAGGAGAAGAAAAAGCGCTTTTCGGGAGAAAGGCGCAAGCCCCGCCCCGCCCTTCTCTTCTCCCAGCAAAAAAAAATAAAAAAGAAAAAAAAATGTGCGGAGCCGGGAGCCGTGCCAAAAAAAATCAAGCTCCGGCTCCAGCTCCGGCTCTGACCATTTTCGAATTTTAGCTCCGGCTCCGGAGCCCATGCAAACACTGGTTCTAACACAAAACAAAATGCAAGAAGCCTGATGTATCTAAGAATTACAGTACAGTAGCCTACTATTATACATTTAGAAATAGAAAATTTTCAAAAAGAAATCAAAAACCAGTTTACTCGAGCATTCTCCCAAAAAATTCAGAGAAAAGAGAATTCATTCACTCATGAGGTTCGTCCGGATCGTTTTCGCCTTCATCTGGATGTTGTGGAGAAGGTGGTACCGGTGCTTTCATTACTTGTGGAGTAGGTTTCGAGTCCTCTTTAGTCAGTTGTTTTAGTGGCTTTAGAGGCTTCTGATCCTTTTTGAATTCCACCAATGAGTTTTGAGAGTGTGTAACCATTGGAGACTTCTGATCCGAACTCGAGGACGATTCATGCGGATGAGTACCATGCTGTTGAGGATCATGCGGAGAGGTACCATGCGGAGAAGTACCAGGCTGAACGGTAGTACCATGCGGAGAAGTACGACGCTGTGGAGCACCCAGCGGAGCACCATACTGAAGAGTATCAGGTGGAGTTGTGGCTGAACATTTGCATTGATAACCAGTACTCAAAGTCGTCGCCGACTTCTGATCCATGGTCGTTGGTGAAGGTGGGATGTATTGGGATGGTATGCCGCCTTCTGGTGTTAATGGCGATCTTGATCCACTTTCCGATGTTACTGATACACTGGTCGGTGTCATTGAGGATGTAAAGCCGGTACTTGAGGGTGTAGTAGTTGTATAGCTACCTGAAGTTAGGGATGGTAATAAAGGCAAAACAGCATAGTTTAGTTACCGAAAAAATGTTGCCCTTCCCCCCCCTAAAAAAATCTACCCCTTCCAAAATTGTTTTTCTGTCTCGCTGTCCTAACTAGAAAAACATTTAAACATTTTTTACCATTTTTAAAAGAATTTTTTTACCCCCCCCCTTCCTAATTTTTTACCCCGCCCATAACAAATCTATAAAACTACCCTTACCCGAACTCGTGCAAGTCTTATGACAACTTTCTGGCGTCGTAGCATTCGGTGGTGTAACTGGAGTGGCTGTTCGATCTTCTGGATCACATCCAACTTCACCTAGCCGATGAGTCTTTTGCATTTTGTTTGGTTTCGGTGGTTTTTGTTCGTTCTCAGCTTCTAGCGGCGCATTTCTCTGTATCTCCTCGAGTGCTTTCTCGATTTTTTCGTTTTTTCTGCCCGAGCTCGGCGGGGATTCTTCTCGATCCTTGTTCGGAACATCGTCGTCGCCAAAGTCGCTCTTCACGTCGTCCATCTATAACGTTGAAATCAGGGTTCAAATGGCAAAATTAGGTAACAAAATCAAGGTTTCAAATAAAAAAGAGCTTGAAATTCATTTTAAAATTCAAAAATTCGACCAAATACCGGCTTTTTAGGTAACAAAAACCTTAATTTAGGTGTTTTTAGGTAATAAAAAGCCTTGTTTTAGTCATTTTAAAGCAATAAAGCCAAAAAAACCTTACACAATCTAAAAACCTTATTTTAAACGACAGAACTTACCGTTGGCGTGGCATACCTATTAGCGTATTTTATTCTGGGTAGCTTTAAAGGGTCTTTTCGCTGAATCGTCCTGAAAAAGGTAATGTAAACATTAAAAATGTAAAAAAAAATCTTTTTGGTTTACTACCTAAAGCCTAGTACTATATTTTAAATGTTTTATTACCTAAAACTATATTTTTTCCCTAAATTGTAATTTGTTACCTAAAGTACTATTTTCTTGCTCATTCTTTACCTGAAGTTTCAATTTTCCAATAAAAAACCTTACGTAACAAGTTTAATCAGTTTCTTTTTGTCCTTAGGGTGTTTAGGTTTCTTTCGCTTTTGAGCCGAAATCACCTTATCCTCGTCCACCTTATCTGGCACATAGACCGGCTTTACCGGCTTCTTTGCTCTTGGGTCATCTTTTCCTGGCTTCTTCTGCCGTTTCTGATCATCATCTTCTTTTTCCAACGAAACTTGATCTGGCGACATTTCACCGGTCGGTGGTTTATTTTTAGTCCTAGATGTACTAGTTGGAGTTGTACCAGTTGGGGTGGTACCAGTTGGTGTTGTACCAGTTGGTGTGGTACCACCGTTGTCCGAGACTTCAACACTAGTGAGCTTCTCTTCGGTGGTGGGTTGTTCCGAGCTGGTTGGTTGTTTTTCCACAGTGATCGTCTTATCATTGCCAATTGGCTTTGGTTTCGGCTTTGGAGCCTTGCGACGCTTCTCGGCTTCAGCTGTTTTCACTTCGCCAGATTTGGGATCAGCTTGGGCTGCTGCTTTGGCCTTCTTCAATTGTTGTTCTCTTTGCCATTTGTACAAGTCGTAGGGGGCGATGTAGTCGTGGCCAATGAACTAAAAAAACAAAATTGTAAAATTTTTGTTACCTAAAATCTTTTTTAAACCTTTTGAAATATTTTTCTTCCTGCTTATTAATCAAAACTTAACGTCTTTATCAAAAAACATTGAAGAAACATCATATTAACCTTGCCTTCCAATGTTCAAGTCCTAAATTCAAAAAACAATAATAAAACAAACTTACAAGATCCTTGTAATCTTTGTCTTTCTTCTTCCTTCTCTTTATCTTCTTCTTCGACTTTTTTGGCTTGTTTTTGTCCTCCGAAGGCATATCGTCGGGACTTTCATTGGGCACACGTCGACCTTCTAAAACAAGGTAAATTTAATGCAACGTTAGGAAAAACAAATAAAGAAAAGCTATAAAATCAAGATAATAAGCTCAGCTATCTTCTAAAACATGAAAAACGTGATCAGATATCAAATAAAACTGTAAAACATCAAAAATTCCACCAAAACATTAATTTTTCCCTAAATTTCGAAAATAACTCTTGGTTGACTAGCTAAAACAAAGTTTTTATGACCTTAAATTACCTTCTTTACCAAAAATAAGATTTGTACTACATAAAGCAAGGCTTGTGGCCAGATAATCTATAGTTTATCAACCAAAAATCGACAATTTTAGACCAAAAACGTCCTATTTAACCTAAAACAATATAAGAGATGTAAAAAAGTCGCCTTACCTTTCGAACCATGACCCTTTGGCTTCTGAAAATGTAAAATATTAAAAAGCAACCATTAAATTTTCCAAAATTTTAAAATTTTGTATTTTACTCGAAAAATCAAAGAGAACGAGATTTGCTGCGTGCGGCTTAGCTTGTGCAGGCTGCAAAGGCCCCTTTCTTGATCAAAATGCTTACAATTGATAAAAACTTATAAAAATTGGTAAAATTGTACATTAAGCTAAAAAATTATAAAATTATCAAAAAATGTTATCTAAAATTTTGAAATTTTAAAATTTAAACAAAAAGCGTTGGCACTCACCGACTTTCTTCGATCTGACTGCTTTTCATTCCGATTATCTTTTAATGCTTTAGGATGCTGAAATAGTTTTAAAATAAGTCTACAAAGCTACAAAATGCCTAAAAAATTGAAAAAACCTACATTCCGGTCCTGGTTCGATGACATGCCTACAATAATTGAAAAACCGACTGTTCGTCGGACTAGACCAAATAACAAATTGAAAAATTTTTCAAATGGTGAAATTTTAAAATTGTTGAGAAAAGGGCACAAGAAATAAATTTTTTTAGCCATAGTTCAAAGCTGTAGCCCAGAGCCTTAATCCAGAGCCGTAAGCCAGAGCCCTAGCCCAGAGCCCCTAGTCCAGAGCCCTAGCCCAGAGCCCTAGCCCAGAGCCCTAGCCCAGAAACCTAGCCCAGAGCCCCTAGTCCAGAGCCCTAGCCCAGAGCCCTAGCCCAGAGCCCTAGCCCAGAAACCTAGCCCTAGCCCAGAGCCCTAGCTCAGAGCCCTAGCCCAGAGCCCTAGTCCAGAGCCCAAGCCCAAGCCCAAGCCCAGAGCTCTACCCTTGCCTTTCTTTTCTTTCTTTGCTTGTGTACCGTCCCTATCCCATCATCCCTATGCATAGTTATGCCATCCTCTCTATTCCATCTCCTGCCGTACTCTTTTCCTAGCTTTATTCTTATGTCATCATAGTGGTACTCTGTTTAGCCCTCAATATATAAGGATATTACGTGTTTTCTTGTAAATCTTTTCCTAATATTCCACATTGTTTACAGTATTTACTTTGTTTTCAGGTTCAATTATCCATTTTCCAGCTAGACGGCCAAAAACCTCCAGCCATTTCTATTGTTTTGTCCTTTCTCTTTATTTTCCTTTGCCTTTTCAAACATGGTGTCTAGCTCTTTCAATCTCTTTTTTCAGTCTTTTAAAATTTTTTTTGAAATTTTTAAGAGACCGTTTTTGGAGAGCACGACCTTTCATGCACATTACTTTCAAAAGCGTATTTTTGGAGGTTGGCGTGCTAAATTGGACCGTTCTGACCGCTAATTAGGGTTTTGTTCTCGCAAATTGGACTTTTTTTGCTTGTTAGTAGAAGCATGCTTCATATTATCGACAGAAGTAGGCAATTTAGGCATTTATTTAGGTATAAAAACTTAAAGAAAAAATATTTAATTTTCAATGATTTTGGGTTGGTTTTGAATTTAATGCCATTTAGAATAAGACATATTTAAAATTTGCCTTAAAATTGATTTTATTGGTAGTAAAAGACACTAAAGATTCTTATAAACCAATTTTAATAAGTTTTGACACATGTTAAGCTTATAGAATTCAAATCTTCAACAAGTCATATATTACCCATGACAGCCATGTTCATTTATTTATTACACCCAATAAATCTTATCTTATTTACCGTTTTTTTTATCTCATTCTATGACAAATAACCTTCTTCTTCTATTTCTTAACAAAATTTTTAAAAACGACCTTATTTTTAATATAAAATCGACATTATCTACACTACTAGTTCATCTACTATCATTAAAATTCAATTTTAATGATTAAATCCTAAACTTTCAAAATACTCTCAAACTGATTACTAATACTGATGACGCATATTGTTAATCGAAAAAACAGGTGGTAGTTTTTGAGAAATGAACCGGATTTAACTTCCAACTTTCGTTTTTTGTTTATAAAGCGGAACGGCCGGCTGGAGAATTAGATAAGAATGTTTGTTTTTGGTTAAAAACTTGTGATAAGACAATATTTTGACATGTCGATTGTTTTGACTAGATATAATGTGATTTTTGGAACGTTTCTTGTTAATTGAAATTTCAGTTTATTTCGTTTTTGAGCTCTTTTATATTGTTTTAGGTGCATGGGTTGGATCTTTTGGGGATTTGAAAGATAGGTTGAAAATATAGTGTTAAAGGTAGTGAAAGTAAAGTTCAACTAAAAAACCATTTAAAAGTTACTGGAGGATTAAATTTGGCGCTAGGACAAATGCCGTTTTTGGACATTTGCGGATCTGCGGTTTTTAGACACTTGCGGATCTTCGGTTTTTGGACACTTGCGGATTTTGGACATTTGCGGATTTTTTAGTTTTTTTTAAATTTTTTAGTTAATTTAGTTGTATTATGGTACTAAATTGTACTAAAGTTTGAATTGGTACGGTTTTAACATACCAGCACCTTTTTAGTTTTAGTACTATTTAGTATCAAAAATAAAAACAGTACCGATTAAAAATTTAGTACTATTTAACATTAAGAAATATTAAGACAGTGCTAATTTAAACTTTAGTACCATTTAGTACCATACTACAACTAAATTAAATAAAAGATAAAAAAACCCCTTTAAAAAATCCGCAAGTGTCTAAAAACCGCAGATCCGCAAATGTCCAAAAACCGCATTTGTCCTAGCGCCTTAAATTTCATCCTTTCCAGTTCAAAAACCCCAAAAATCTCGTTTTAAACCGCGCGCGCTTTTCTCGAACCAATAAAAACGAGTGGCGTTTCGCACCAGCTCTCTTATTTTGGCCGAACGAAATTTTGTTTTTGTGGTTTTTAGTGAAATTCGCCCTCACATGACCTGCTAATGCCTTCTAATCGCTAATTTTGCTAATTTTCCGAACGAACATCCATTTAATTTGCGAATATATTGTTAAACTTGTAAATACAGGCCAAATTTCGTTATGAATTGGACTCGCCGGAAACTTTTGGCGATCTTGGTGATCTTCGCCTTGCTAGTGGAGCCGATCAACAGTCGACGAGGCGGTGGAGGTGGATTTGGACGAGGTTCAAGTGCTGGCCGATCTTCTGGTATGGTTTTTAATGTTTTTGTTTGCATTTTAGGCCTAACAGAAGTTGGATTGAGAAATAATTAGTTTTAGGTGTTGAGGATAATATAAAATTGATGAAACTTGAAAATGTATTAGAGTTTTACAGGGAAATTGTTTTAAAAAACAAAAGTAGATTGTTCATGAGGTTGTGTCTAAACAACTTTAATTATTTAGTTTCTTTTTGATATGAATGATTTTTACATCTTATGTCAAGTATAATATTCAAAAATACTTCTTTTTTACTTTTATTGTTGAGGATGTTTAGTTGTAGCAAGATACTGGTTTATAATTTACTTTTTGGGGAGGTATAGCTTTTATTCTAGCAGTTTTAACTTTGAACTAGCGATTTTACCATTAAAGGTTATGGATAATATCTATTTTTTTATCGAACTTTACAAAAGACAAATGTATACCTCAAAAACTGATAAAACGTAGCTAATCATCTACTCTTACAGGAGGATTTGGCAGAAGTCGAGGAGGAGGAGGTGGAGGCATCTTTGGAGGCTCCAGGAACACTGGCTCCAACTCTCGACCTAGTGGAACATATAGCTCTGGTTCATCACGTTCTGGTGGTGGTGGCTTGTTCAGTGGGTCTTCAGGCAACTCACAGTCCAGAAACAAAGGTGGAGGTATTTTTGGTGGATTCGGAAGCAACAAACAGAATTATCGTCAGCCACAGACTTCGTCGTAAGTTGGCTTTGATAATATAGCTTTTTTAAGGATTTTATCCGAATCTCATTATATTTTAGATAACATTAAGTTAAAATATTGTGTAAATATGTTTTTACCTTCATCCTAAACAACCTTATAAAAAGTTGCCTTGTTTTAGGTGGAGACCATCAGGAATTGGCTCAAGGAGCAGGTCCAGTACCTTCAAGAATATGATTGTTGGCGCAGCCGCTGGTTATTTGACATATCAAGCCGGAAAACATTTGATTCGATCTGCAATGGCACCTATGATGTGAGTTTTATCATATTTGTTAAAATTTTAGGTTTTTGGCGTTGGCAGTCTGCGCTTGGGTTGTGCAGGCTGCAGAATGAGCTTTTTTAAAATGGTTGTAAAACTGGTTTAAGGGGTAAAACTTGGGTTGGTAAGATTATAAAATGACAGAAACTTAATTTTTTAAAATTAAAAAATAATTTTAAAAAAATTTTAGGTGGAACAACCGCCCATATTATTGGGGCCAAAGCTACTACCAGCCCAGGCCGCAACAACAAATGTGCCGAATGCCATTGGACCCGGGAGACCCACAATTTGGCAATATCTACTTCCAAGACCAAACTCGGCCGAAGGAAATTGTTTGGAGCTGTGGGTATAACGAGCAATGTTGTGGCTACGAGTGCTGTCCTGGCGGTGGCTACGGTGGCGGTGGTTACGGTAGTGGAGGCTATGGTGGTGGAGGCTACTATGGTCGAAATGGTTACTCTGGAATTGGAATTGGGTATGCATTTTGGATGATTTTGGTCGTTAGATGGGTGTTTTAGGCGACGAGATGAGGATTTTTTGAGTTTTGTTAGGTTGTTCAAATAATTATGAGCTACTGTTAAAAATCTTTTTGGGGTTAGTTGGCGCAGACTTTTTTGAACGGCTTACTAGGTTACAAAAAGCATTTTTTTGAAATTTTGGGTAACAAAGAGGGGATTTTTAATATTTTAGGCAACAAAATTGGGTCTTTTAAATTTTGTCAAGTTTTTTGATTTTTATATTGTTCACTAGCTTTACATGGTCATTTTGTTGCTTTGTATATATCAATGTATTAATTTCTTTATCTGGACGGCATCAATATTAACATAAGCTTTATACTAACATATTACTGTAGAGTCATCGTTGCTGGAGTGGAGTAGGAGTAGTATAAAACACATGGTGCCATATATAGACGATATTTTTGTGTTTGAACCTTAAATTTAAGAAAATTTTTGGAAATTTTTAAAAATTTTTTGAAAATTTGAATTTTGATAATTTTTTTTACAAAACTAACAAATTCACAAGTTGCAGTTGTTAACAGTAGTCAAAATTTAACAATAAATGACATTTTCGTATTTTAAGACGCCAAAATCAGCCCCCATATATGCATCAGGATTATATTGGCCACAACAATATTAATCATGACATTCAAACTACTCCTATCCCAACCGAAAGCAGCGATGACTGGTAACTCAGTAATCTTACTCAAAAACTGGTCTATGGGGTCTAAATTTAAAATTTGGTCTTAAAAAATTTGAAAAAGTCGTCTTGAGGCAAAAAATTATTTTTAAAAATTAAAAAATTTTGGAAAAATTTTAAGAACTTATTGAAAATGCTACTTGTAACATATGTTTTTATGTTTATACTAGTCGCACAACGAAACCCGGTCTAATAATTTACAAAGCTTTGACACGCTTATACTCTCTAATCTTACTCCTACTCTTACCCCCCGCCTTAACACCCTTTGCCCTTGGTTTGCCCATACTCCATCTCTTCTTATCCCTATTCTAACCCTACCTTTGTCCATACTCCCTTCCCGTGCTAAGCTCTTTTTTTGCTTTTGTAAATCTTGCCACGTTTTTGCCTACTCCTAGTCAAGCATTTTTTTCTTAAATTTGCATTTAAAGTTGTAAACTAATATAAACTTCTATTCGAATATTTGTGCAATAAACAATATTTTTTTTGAAATGACGGATTTTTAAAAATTTGAAATTTTATAATTGGAAGTTTTATGTTTTTTTGTTCAAAAAGTTTCGTTGCATATATGTTCGAATGGAAGTTTTAGTTTAGTTTTGGCTTTATATTGGCGGATTGGGCCTAATTTGTAAATTTAAGCGTCAAGATTTTAAAAAATTGAATAGTTTTTTGATGTTGTTAGTTGAAAATGGTCTGTTATCGGCTTGTTACCTAAAAAATGTAAAGATAGGCTAAAGGGCATCAGAGATTTAAAAAAATTATTTTAAAAAATATTACTTACTCTGTGGCAATTGACATGACGACGTAAAAATTTCAGAACCTTGTTGGTTTTACTGATTGTTGGCTCATTGGGAGCGTTTACGATCTTCAAAGTGTGCCAAAATGTAAAAAATAACAAATATCAGCGTGGTAGACCAACTGATGCTCCGCCAGTTTACAACAACTACTAGAGTGTAAAACATGGTCTACTATGATATGTAGGATACAAATGTACTTTTTATCGTAAACAGAGATATTATTTTTTGTGGTCTACAGGTACCAAGAGGTACCTTTGTTTACCCTCGCCATAGCGGCGTCTCTGATCGTACATGGTTTTATACTAGAAGAATATGTCGTACATGTGCTATTAGTATGTTAGTATACATTTACCTTGTTATGGTTGTATACATTGTACATGATATAGTAGTATACATTTTGCAAACTTTAGTCAAACGCTATAGGTCAATGTTATTATCTTTTTAAAAAACAGTCAGTAATTTGATATTTACATTATTGTTTTTTTTTGTATATACGGTGAATCTTTCTAAATTCAAAGTTTTTTTGTTAATTTAAATTTTGTGTCAAAAGGTCTACAATTTTAATACTTTTTGTCGTTTTTCAAAGATATATATGTCTATATTGCCTCACATTCAGTGATTTATATTTTTCGATTAATATTTTCAATTGTTATATTAAAGTTAAAAATTTTTAATGTTTTTATATAAAATTAAATTTTGTTCTTAGTTCAGTAATGTAATCAAAGAAAGAGGGCGGGTGATTTTTTTAAAGAGGCCGTGAGCGTTGTACCTTAGTATACTTGAAAGGCTCGCTAGACCCGGCTTTGGGTCGGCTCCTGCAATTACAAATTTAAAAGCGCCAGGGTTGGATCGTGCGGGCCGTAGAACCGGGCCTATTTGAAGGCCCCAGGGGCTCAGTTTAGGTTCTGCAACGAAAGAAAGATTTAACCTGCGAAATGTGTAAAAAGAAGTTGATTTTAAAACTATATACTGATGAATGATAAGTTTTGAATAATTTTTAAAAATTAAAATTTTTTAAGTTATTGGTTATTCAGGGCACATAAGCAGTAAGATACAAGTTGTCCCAGTTATTATTTTTACGAATTTATATAAAGGGCGGGAGCAACTTAGAAGGAGACTAGGCTGAAAAATTGAGCTCAGCCCAGTCCCTTTACAAATGTATCTGTTAGCGTCAATTTTGCGACAAAAAATGTTTTACCACTTTTTTTTCTTTCTCCGTATTTGAACAGAGTTTTTTTTAATTAAAGTTAATTTGAAAAATTAACCACATAAAGACATAATTATTTGAACTAATAAATTTTCGGCGATTGTTAGCTTTTAATCGTTCAAACCAGCCAAATAAAAATGTTAATAAAAATGAAACGGAAAAATCTTATAAATACACATTATTTATGTGAAATTAATCACATTTTTTATTCTAACCTCTTTTGTGTTTTATTATGTTTATTGTTAATTTACTGACTACGGTAGTTTTCACAGTACTGTACGTGCAATCGCAATATGACAAAAGTTCGGAACTTTTGTTGAAAAAGTATCAGCAAAGGTTTCCTCACAGAAGAGTGGAGTGGATCCAGGATAACGACTTTGAAAAATATTTTGTTATTGAACGATGCAATAATGAAGGCTTTTATCGTATGAAAATTGGTAAGGGTTACAATTATCTTTTTGGCACTGTTTGAATTTTTTTGTCTTGGCCCCTTATATTAGAATTGAAATTGATTCACTAGCCCCGGGTAGAGCAAAGCTGGCCGAATAAAAATTGAAAGGGGCCGTACCGGTACAACGCATTGTATCGTACTGGCTCGATCACTGTTTAAAATTTTTTATCAATATGTTTTAGCTCTAGCCACCGAAAGTTTTTGCGACAGCGCAACCCCAATTCAAACTAAAGATAATAATAATGTAAGCCTGTCCTAGTTAAAATCAGTAAATCTGTATGTAAATACCAGAAATCGTTTTTGTTAATTTATAGGGTGTCAAAATAGATCCTCTGCCGAGTTTGGACCCTACAGATGTAGTTAATCTGGTAAGTTTGATTTTAAGTTTGAAGTTTCTTTTTGGCGTTTTAAAGCTATATAAAATCTTATAAAGATATCCCACGTCAAGAAGTGTCATGTAACAAATTATTCAGAAATGGACACCAGATCCCTTGCGGCCAGTGTTCAATAAACGAAAAAACAAGTTTGAAGCGATCTATGACGAGCAATGGAATAACAACTTGTTGAATCGTTTCCAACTAGATCCATTACAGGTGTGCCTACAGGGTACAGACCAGGTTTACCACATGGAACGATCATACGTTGCATTTGGTAACTATTTGCGTATTGGCCAGAGGGCGATTAAGATCAGGGACGCGACCTGCGGAAACAACAAGTTAAAGTCGATCAGGTGGAATAGTGTACCTGAACTTTCGAAAAAGCCATCGCAAAAGAGAGTGATGGCGGACTGTTGGGTAAATTTTCTTACTGCAGTGGGATATTGGGTGCGATTCCCAAATTAAATCTCGATCGGAGTTTCAAAAATTAAAAAAAAAATTAAAAACGTAAAAGACGTCATACTTTTAGAACCAAAAGCTGTCGAAATACTGTATTGAAGATCAGTTAACTCAGCGTGCAGTTTTAGTAGGAAGACAAAATCCCGTTTTTCAAATTGGCAATGTTACATTGTATGCGTACAAAGAAGACGGTCGTGTTATTTACTTTGTTTACGATCCTGTTTCAGGGTATGTTATCAATGTCATCGTTAAAAATATTTTTCGAACTTTAATTTTTTTGTTTTTAAAATTTTTGCAATTTTTTGTCAAATTTAATTTTTTTTAAATTAATTTTTCATGAAGTTTCGAAATTTTTGTAATTTTTAGGACGGACTACTATATTGATGACCAACTGAATTGGTCGACCGATAAAATTAAAAAGCCAACGGTACTATTGCCACTTATGTTCATAAACGACAAGTTTTTTGAAAGAATAAGGCCTACTAGAGAACTTACTGCGGAAGAGACAACAATCGAAGAAACAACAAGTACAACCCAAGAAACAACATGTACAACCGAAGAAACAACTATTACAACCCAAGAAACAACAGGTACAGCCGAAGAAACAACAACAACCCAAGAAATAATCACGACAACCCGAGAACTAACAAATAAAACCCAGGAACCAACACAGGGATCAGAAACGGTTACCACTGTTACAAAATCTCCATGCCAAAGCAATTGCAACTTTGCGTTTGAGTTTCTTTGGTGGTTTTCAAGAACATAACTTGTTAATGTTGTTTTACGTTGTCCAAGTATGGATGAGCTAAATATTTATTTTTTGAAAAATAAATTTTGAAAAAAGATAGAGGTTGGTTTTTTATAATATTTTATGGGTGATACGCTGCATTACAATGTAAAATACGGTTATTATGATGCTTAAAAAATAAAAGTTTATCACTTTAAAAATTGAAATTGTTTTACACATTTCGTAAGTTCAGTTTTTTGTTGCGGGACCAAAGTTCGACTCCTGGTTGCTTTGTTTGGGTCCTGGACCTCGAGACAACACAGGCAAGCCCGACCTCTTAATTTCTTTTTCGGTTTTGGCCTAGTGAAATAGGGGTCGGTCCTAGTAGCCTTTTTCCAAGCCTAGTTGATATCCATATCTTTATTACTATTTGTCATGTTTGTGGCTGTATGAACTGTTCTTTCAACCGAGCACGGCCTGGTACTTGACGTTCTGTCTGTCTCTAATGTAACTGTTTGTTTGTACAGATGGTTGGGAGTAATTCAAGACTATGCTCACAGTGTTTGTGTGGTCTTGCCGGGTTTCTAAATTTGATCATTTTAATATTTGTCAATTGTAAAAGGGGTGTAGGGTGCTGTAGGGGTTTTTTTAAATTAGGGTGGTCAGCCCTGTTGATTTTTGAAAAAGTAGTCTTTTTGAAAATCAACAGGGTGAGAGAGGGCACGTTCAACTTTTTTTAAAAAGATGTTTTTGACATTTTCCCAACTATCAATCAACAACACAATTGTTTGTTTACCACTTCATAAATTATCCCCAAATCCTGTTTAAAATTTTTACGAGTGGCGACTTTTAACGAGCTCACGAGGTTCATAAAAATCGCCGCTGAAAAAAAAGAAGAACGTTGTGTCGTTCCGTGCCAATGTTTTGAGCAAAAAAGACGAGATAAACACTCAACAACAGACGTTCGTTTTTTTTGTCTTGAGACTTTTGATTTGGCGAGTACGGTAGGGGGATTGAATTTTGGGATGGGAGGAATAGAGACTTGCAAAAACTTACTTTCAAAGCCCAAGATGGCGAGAATTTTCTTTACAGAACAAAAATGGCAGAAACTTTCTTTACAAAACATAAAATAGCAAGAACTTTCTTTACAAATCATAAAATAGCAAGAACTTTGTTTACAAAACATAAAATGACAAGAACTTTCCTTACAACATTTAAAGAGGCAATAACTTTCTTTACACCTCAAAAACTGGATTTTTTCTAAATTTCTTACATTATTTATAGCGTCTGCTACAGTTTTCTTTTTGTTACATGCTTCGTTTTGTCGCTAATACAAAATTTGGATACGCGCGGTATTCAAAAAAAGCGCCTTGTAGCCAGCCAGCTGACTTTACGATCCGAAAACGGGCTTGAAACGGAGCCAAATGTCCATTTTCAACCGGAATGGTTAATTTCATTTTGTGTTATAGTGGGTTGAATTTATACAATAAGTCTTCAAGCTTCAAGCCTACGGCTTGGGTAGGGGTTAAAGAAAGTAGCAAAGGTTGAGTATACGGTGTGACAAAGGTTAGAATAAGGCAGAGCAGGGCTTGTTAAGATGGTATTTTAGGGCTGTATGTAGTAAGGTAGGGTAAGGCAATGTACACGTAGGGTAGAGTAGGACAAGGTAGCGTAGGGTACGGTAGGGCAGTTCAGGACTGGCCTTGTCAGAGCGGGTTGGGTAGGTTTTTGTAGGGCAGTTCAGGGCGGGTTGGAGAGGGTTTAGTAGGGCAAAACAGAGCAAGGTAGGGCAGATTTCAGCCATAAAAAGTGAACACTGCTCTCGTCATAAACTTTAACATCCTTGCACCATTAACGGGTGAATGGTGTTGTCAGTCGGCAACTTTTGTTTGAAGGCAATATTCACAGCAAATCATTTCGTTTGAGTTGAAC